ACTTTTATCGATTTTATCGATTTTTTTGCAAAGTTTGAGCTAGGGGGCTGGGAGTTGGCACAGGGGGGGTAATCGAGCATGCTGATCATCCCCAAGGGGGTGATCAGCATGCTCGATTACACCCCTGTGCCAAATTCCATCCCCCTAGCTCAAATTTTGCAAAATCGATAAAATCCATAGAAGTAATCGATAATTCCAAAAACTAATATTGTATTCGTAATCCGCATGCTCGATTACCCCCCTGTGCCAAATTCCAGCCCCCTAGCTCAAATTTTCAAAAAATCGATAAAATCGATAAAAGTAATGGACGATCTTGAAAACTAATATTGTATTCGTAATCTGCATGCTCGATTACCCCCTATGCAAACTCCCAGCCCCGCAGGTCAAACTTTACAAAAAAATCGATAAAATCGATAAAAGTAATGGACGATCCTGAAAACTAATATTGTGTTCGTAATCAGCATGCTCGATTACCCCCTGTGCAAAATCCCAGCCTCGCATGTCAAAATTTACAAAAAATCGATAAAATCAATAAAAGTAACCGATAATTCTGAAAACTAATATTGTATTCGGAATCCCCATGCTCACTTCCCCCCTGTGCCAACTCCTAGCCCTGTAGGTGAACTCTGCGAAAAAATCGATAAAAATCGGTAAAATCGACATCGATCGATAACGAAAAGTGGACTGTGACACGCGCCGGGGCCCGAAGTGTATGTGTGCCAAGTTTGGTCCGGATACGGCGGAGCCGGGTAAGCCAGCTAGTCTTCTATAACGCAGGTGGACATGGGAGCTTGCCCAACGGAACGACGAGATCGACCACATTTTCACTAACCGAAAGTGGAGTTTGCTTGATGTCTCAAAAGTTCCATCCTTCTGCAGTGGCTCCGATCACCGTCTCCTTCGAGCGAAGATACGATTTAGTCGAACGCTGGAAAAGAAAGTCTGCCACGGCGCCGCAAGAAGGAAAGAAGTCGTTTATGACGGTAACAGGTTGGAAGAGCTCATATCAAGTTGTGACTGGCCCATCGAGGAGGACCCAACGTAGGATCGGCTTTTGAAAGGATTGCGAGCCTGCGGAGAGTGCGCCTCAGTGACTTCTGAGAAGAACTTTGAACGCATTTTGAAGACCACAAGAAATTGCTCGAAAGAAGAAGATTTCTGAGGCAGGATCCGAATCTCATCTCGAGCGACTGATAGCCAACGCCAGTTGCAGAACATCTTTGCAAGAGGATCTTAGGAAGTACAGGCAAGCCAAGATACTGGAAGCAGCCGAAGGAAGATGAAGTCTCAAGATTTGCCGAAGGGACCTCTGTGAATATCACGTACCGCTGGTTGCACTATTGAACGAAGACGAGACTCCGACTTCTTCCCGATACAAGATGGAATCTATCGCGAAGAACTTCTACATCAACCTCTTCCGCTCATCAACACCCTACCGATGCCCGTTGTTCCCACTGGAGAAGTACCACCACGGATTCTACGTGCTGAAGTGCGTATCGCGATTCAGATCATAAAGACGTCAACGCTCTACGACCTGCCATCTTTTCGTCGAAATTCTGCGAGTCGGAAAGCAACGTTTACAAAACATTTTTGTGTAACCTGACATCTTACCTTCAAAAGGAGAAGATTCCCGACCAGTGGAGAACACCAAGAACCGTCCTGCTCTTCAAGAAGGGCCAACAAGAGGATCTTCGGAACTACCGTCCAATATGCCTGCCGAGTGAGCTGTATAAGCTTTTCACGAAGATTATCCTCGCACGCATATCTAGAACACTGGATGAAGCCCAACCCCAAGAACAGGCTGGATTTCAGGATTCAGCTGCATGGACCACATCCAGACGGTGTAGATGGTCATAGATGTCTGCCGGGAGTACCGACTGTCTCTCGTCCTAACATTCGTCAACACGAAAAAGCTTCTGATTGCGTTAAAACCAACGCCATCCTGTCAGCACTAGTCGAACAACAGGTGGACCCAGCTTATACGAGGACGTTAGCCGACTGCTAGAAGGACACAACGATGATACAGTTGTTCCATTGCCTCTGACCATTTAATGGGAGGGTGGTCCGACCAGGAGACACAAAGCTGTTCACCACTGCCTTGCAGTGGGTGATGAAGTCACTGGGCAGGGAAGAGAGAGCCTTACGAGTTGATAAGAGATTCCTGTCGAACCTTCGTTTTGCGGACGACATCGTTCTTTTCTCGAGCAGTATCACTGAAGCAGAGACGATGTTGAAGGAACTTAATGAAGTGGGGAAGAAGATCGGACTGCGAGTAAATCGGAAGAAGACTCAGTTCATGAGGAACGCCCTTTGCGAAGATGCAGAAATGGAATTGGAAGGCACCCCTATTATGGAGACGTCTTCCTACGTGTATCTGGGACGTTCGATGAACATTGAGAACGACATGAGGGAAGAACTTAACAGGAGAAGAAGAGCAGCCTGGGCCGCCTTCGGGCTTCTGAAGGAAGCCACCGACCAACTGACGAACCCGGAGCTTCGTGCCCATCTGTTCGACTCAACCGTTCTCCCGGCGCTCTGTTACGCAGCTGAGACTTGGGTCGACACTGTAGCCACGTCGAAAGCTCTACGGACAACCGATAGAGCGCTTGAGCGCACTTCTGAAGATGAGCCGACACAGACAGCATCTCGTCGGACTTCGCAGTACGGATCGAGAAGAATGATCCGTCTTCGTAACCCAGCGGAAACGTTGCAAAAGCGAATCACCGATGGGCCAGTCACATCATGAGAAGAACAGATGACAGATGGACATAAGAACATCTCCTTGCGAAGCAAAACGTCCCCGAAGAAGACCTCCAGCGAAATTGCCAGATGTGTTCGTGAACGGATGGACCAGCTGAGAATTCAGCTGGATACGACTCTCGCACCCGGAACTCGTAAATGCAGCCACCGACTCAACCAGATCGTAGATGTCTGAAGCGAGGGACAGGGAGAAATGGAATGCTGGAGCCAGCGCGTCACGTGAAGCCGGGCCATCTAAGTACCCAAGTATCTAACGATAAGCAAATTTCGCTGGCTATCATTCTGTATGACCGGCTTCAACTCATCGTCAAGTCGTCGAGCGCAAGGACTGGCCATGAATTGTGGACCATGCGCAATAACGAAAGTTCGCGAGAGCACGACTAGTACAACAGCGATTTGTACTGTACAAGAGTTTGGCGTGCGGCGCGTGCTCCGCAATCTACGTTAGCCCGTGCGGCAGATGAATCGACGGTAGATTTCGCTTATTCCCCTCTAGAGCCTGAAATGGGCGACAGCATATAAACTACCCCATCAGTTAGGGCTCACTCACATTTGAGAATTCTACCGGCGATCGAAAAGATAAGAACTGCGTATGGTAACTTGCATGTTATCCGAAAAAACTTAAAATTTTGGTTGTAGGGCAGAGTGTTTGATCGGTAGTTTGTAAATTGTTGCCGCCCATCTCAGGCTCCGGAGAGGGCGACAAGCCGAAAAATTAGCCTAAGAAATATATTTATCAATCGCGGGTTTGGCTAGCAATCAAATTAATACATGTACACAGTGCTTGGTCGTGTATGCCCCTCTTCTTACAAAGTTGTCTGCCACCCTTTGGATACGATAGTGGATACCATGTCTTTAACTAAGATTTGCATCACAAAGCGATTAACTTATTGTTCGTTACTGTAGGATTACGGTAGGTATGAAAAAAGGTATGTACATAGGTTCATTCGTGGCCGAGAAACTCAACTGTGAGATACGATAGTGTAGAAGTAGCTTTGGCTGAGATTTGCAGCACGAAGCGATTCACTTATTCATTACTGTAGGATTACGGTAGGAACTTCTAGCAAGCAGCGCCATTGCAAAATGGTTTTGAAAAAAAATTTCCAAAATATCTGGAAAGTTATGCAACAGCATTTACGCGCATGGTGATATCCCTACACAATTCCTTACGATTAACCGTCAACTTAGGGAACTGTAAAAACCGCTGTCGTGTACGTGGCATAACTTACATATCATTTGAAAAATCGTGACGATGGCGCAACCGCACACACGCACACCACTTCCTGAAATCGCATTTTCGTTCTTTTTTCATCTTTGGTCGGATGGTTTTTTTGCTTACATATCGTAGTATTTAGACACTGGAAGTGACTGGGCTGAGCGTTGAGTAATATCTTCTACTATGAGCGTTGCTCCTGTAGGCGCAGAGTCCGAAGTCTCATCCTACTCCACTTTTGGAAAGAAACTTCCTCTCAAACCTGATCCGGCGATTTCCAGTGAATAAAAACTAATATAGACTGAAGGCATACATTAGGGAACGCACATATGTTGCTGAGGTACTGGATGCTTGTTTTCATCTCAAAACGCAAGTTCTAAAACACAATCACAAAACGATGACAATGAATGCGATTATAAGCATACTTTTGATCGTTCCTCTACTCGCAGTTTTTGTTTTTTTTTTTCTTGCTGCATACGATAACATTTAACTGTTTGGAGTGACTGAGCTCCTACACCTTGCTAACAATCTTAAAGCAGAGCAGTGGCCCTTAGGTGTGAAAATCTGCGCATTACCGGACACTCAGATTTTTCAGAGTTTGAAATCCTTAGACTTCGCCAGCGTTTCTTGTGCCAGCTCGCGTTCAAAGATTTTTTTGCAATTAGAAACATATAAAAGCTAATGACAAAACTCTCTGTTCCTGCGCTGTGTAGCTGACAAAGCACTTACTGCAACCCTAACAAGAACAGTAGAATTATTTATTTCCTATTAATTTTCTTTTCACTGGAGCCAGAACTGTACAAAGCCGGGAAAGCTTATTGTCTTCACGTTTGGATAGAATGAACTTACATGCCATCCTGATGCAAGCCAAATAATTGGGCTACTCAATTAAAACTAGAATTTTATGAGCCCTACACTATGTTTCCTAGTCTAGTAGTGTGGTGCTGTCACACTTGTCCCAACAACTATCTTTATTCAAACGCAACAGTAACGCATAACTTTCAAAGCGAAGTTAACGTGTGCAAAAGAAAAGACAACTCGACAACACTCCACAGAATGATCATCTTAGGATAAGTCGTGCTTCAAATATGTGGATAAATGAGCCAGCTTCTTCATGAATACACAATATCCGGCACTAAACGCCAGCTTAATGCAAGCGGTATAGCGTGGAATGCGACCGACCTGCAACCTCCACTGTCATTCTCTCATTCAACCCGACCTATTACACTGGACAAGGGCGCACAGCAGATAGTAAAGTGCTGGCGCTGATTTTCGATTGAAAATGAGAAGCTGAATAAACGTGGAAGAACTCAGCCGCTTTCCACAAAGGACCTATCACCGCTTTCTGTGAAAGGGTAGATTACAATCAAATATGGGGTGTTCACCATGACCGCACGAAGCCGCGCACACTAATGCTACGCTCAAAAAATTCGAGGCATTTCCAAAACGGAAACAAATTTATTTTTTATCCTTACATACAAAGATTCAAGATCGATAAATCACATTCAACGGCGACAGGATATTTCATAGCACAATTAAACCCTAATCAAAAGAAGAATAAATCAGGGGAAGGCAAAAGCGGTAATAGAAATCCTTTTATAATTTATTCAAACAAGTAACGTCGAAACAAAGAAACGAAACATTTTAGCGGGAACAAGCCACCCAAGAGACAATCACCCGCTTATTCCGATCGATCTGCCTTAATCCTTGGTGGAGATCTTGAATCCAAGAATTGCCTCCTCTCCACAGGCAGCAACAACAGATACCTAGAATCAATTCGATGAACCGCAAAAGGATGATAAGGTGTCAAATAAACCAAGCTGAATAAAAATAAAGGAAAAATGCAATGTAAGCATAAATGTAAATGACAATTCTACTGTTGCTGATGAATGTATTTGAGTCACTGATTAAATTATCACAGGTTCATTAATGACTGATGAACTTGTAATCTATCTTCAACCGCTGTTCAACGGACAGCTAATTGATGCCGACTCGAGGTAAAAGAAAAGAGGAAATGGATCCGATGCGCTTGTTCTCTCTTTCCGATCAAATTTGCCCTCTACTTTATCTTCAAACTGTCTTCCCTCAAAGATAGTCACGAGACAGCATTCGCGATGATTGCAAAATACAGCAGAAACTCCAAAGCTGTCAATATGTATGAAAATTTTCTTGAAAAAAAAAATAAAACTTAGTTCGCAGACAACACATATACAACATGGTTATCTCATGCACCAAAGTGCATGGGTGAATGGTACTTATTTTAGCTGATCACATGAATGCGGAGGGTTTATCAATGGAAATCACGTTTCGCCCTAGAATCTAATTTTGAACGTTGTTTGAAAAACCGTTATCAACGTGACAGCCGCCCCATGTTTGCAGGGCGCTAGTGATGGAAAACAATTATGAAGAGGCAGCGCTCCACTTAGTTTTTATGAGCTCTTATCCTCCGAAGCGATGCTCCTCAGCCTATTTCTGACCTATGAATATTCGAATGCTAATTCAATGCAGCTAGGGCTGGAGGCAGTAAAGGAGCAGCTTCCTGATAGTAACAAAGAAGCCAGCGTTTCTCAAACTTTTAATTACTTTCTTTAAAGATGCACTACTTGAACAGCACTTCACTGTTTCAAACATAGAAGCTGCGAAAGATTTAGACTTTTTACGCTTATATTATCGGAACCGGAATTACCGTTTTTTAGCATGAAAGGAAAATCTCTCTCAAAAAAAGTTGCAAAAAACTTGAGAGCAACCCAAATCTGAAAAGAGCCAGAGAGCACTTCCAACCTAGAGAAATTGGTTCAAAATGAAATTCAAAGATGATCTTCAAACAAATCAAAGTCTTCCGTTACCCAAGGTTATGATTTCTCTTACAAGCACATTCTAATAAATACAGCATTTTTCTGGTGCTCAGTTCAGATTCTAATCACAAAGATCAGACGTAACTTATCCAACCATCATTGCACCGAAGCAACTGATTATCAAACCCCAGCACTCACGAGAACAGATCCTTCGTCTTTGTCAAGTGCTTCCTTGATCTGATTTCCAAGATCTCCTTCAGGCATCTTTAGGTCATCCTTGAGATCACAGGTTTCGGGATCCATGAGGCTGCAGTAACCTTCGTCAACAGACATGAGCTGAAAATACACGCATTAAATTATAGACACTCGAACTGACACTGAAGCTTTGCGCGCCCTATGACCAGAAGCTCTAACAAAGAGTATAATGAAAGGTTTTCCTCTCCGATGCGATCATTTACCAAATTCAAAGGATTGAGATGGCGAACGCCAGCTGTTGTGCTCAGCTCTGTTACTAATCATATAATTCAGACGTAACTTATCCAACCATCACTGCACAACTACCAAACCTCAAAAAACTCCTCAAACTATGTTTCAGCATTAAAATGAAAACAAACACCAAAAGCACTCACAATGTATTCACGGCGCTTGACTACGGGAACGTCCATATTGTGAGTGGAAGGACAGATATCCTCGAGTTTCTTGTTGGTGAAAATGTCGAGAGCGACAAGATGTACCTTGGCGTGGCCGTGTTTACCAGTTTTCGAGGTACTCATTTCGACAATCTTAAACAAAAAATAAGAATACAAGAAAAAAGGAGCAAGATGCGAAACAAACTGATAAGGTGAAACTCGTTACCTTGCAAGGGCGGCCTTTGATCATTACATGCTCGTTCTTACGTAGGGCAGAGCACTGCTTTGGGAAAGTAGCAGCGGCTCCGGATTCTCCCGACGCGAAGTGGTCATCATCATGATGCTCCCCACCAGCGGCAGCAGCCTTCTCAGCCATTTTCCCCTAAAAGTAGCGGCAAATCAAAGTGAAAATTTGTTGAGAAGCTCAAGATACCGAAGGCAAACACATACTTAAAGAAGCAAACAAACTCGTACGGTCTGGTACGATAGTTGGAGCAATCAATAAATCGCACAAAGTGGATGCAACTGGAGATTGCAAATTTTAATAGCCCAGAATGGTTGCTGCACATTGCGTAATTTCCGCACGACGATGCAAGCACATTAGAAAAAACAAAGTTACGAAATGAATGGTAATTAATTCCTAGGACCGGCCGATGACGCCACAATCACAACCAGCAAAAAACAACCAGAGAAATTCTGCTCAAAAGTACAAAGTCCATCCCAACTAAAAAAACTAATCATGATCAAAAGCAACCGCTTTACCGACTTTAACAACTTCTAAAAGAAGCCAAATCACGCGCGCCAAGCCAGTTAAAGGTGAAGCGGCTGCGACATGGGAAAACTGCATATCACAGTGTAAATGGAGTCGACGCGCAGTGCTAATTGTGCGCATGCGTGTCAACGCGGCGAACTGCTAGCGCTGAGTCCTTTAAAGAACCTTTCGACGCTCGGGTTTCCGAGTGAAGTGCTTTTGGATCGCATTGTGATTTATCTTCCGGGAGAAGCAAAGGTTTTATAGATTTATCGCAGGTGGCGCTGGGATGGATGGAGGTGCACAAAGTTGGGGAAGAGTGGTCATAGCAAGAAAGATTCAATAGCTAGAGAGTAGAGAAGTAGTACTGATGCCTTATGCATTCCATTCAGACTCTGCTCGTTCCGTGCATAAGTAGCCTGAGTCAGGGTTTCAACTCAGTCTAGGCGGAAATTGGACCGGCGGGAGTCCGCTTCGCAAAGATTCGCGCCGCTTTGCAGTCTGCGTCTCTTCGTTCTAATCTACTACCTCGTTGAGCCAGTGGCGCTGCGGACGCCCTGCTCCACTAGGAATATTTTGCCCACTCCGAGTTGAAAAGGTTATAACTGCCAATCGCAATCTACTTTAGGACCGGCCAGTTTATCACCCAATCGTGCCAGGACCTGTAGTGCCCAAGCTACATATCACTGCGGCATAGTCGGAGGTCGTATTCAAGATCTGGTTGCGCGAAAGCAATTCAAATGCGCGCCTGTGCGGGAGTTCAAATGCAGTTTTTTGATGTTTATTTGAAGTCACAGCCTTTGGTTTACATAAACAAAAAATTCCAGGATCGTGGGTCTTGCTTTCATTTGGCCTTTGGGGTCAGTTGAAATGCTGGTTCCAAAATTGTGATCAAATTAAAAGGGGAACTTTGTTTACATTGTACTTCGGTGTACTGACTAAGACACATTATGAGCTTTCGTGGGTTCCGTGACATTCACAAATTCTTCTAGTTGATTCGAAAATGAAGAGGGTTAACAGGGAGTTCAAGGACCATTAACGAGATATCACAAAGCCTAAATTGGCCAGTATTTGCGTCTATAAATTGTATGACAATCAGTGATATCATTTTCTCATACTTTTTGCATCTCTTGGGATTATGATATTGAGTCTGTTTTGCAGAGGAGAAATGTCGAGGTGTCATATGCTTGTTCTATAGAGTGCGTGGGAGAAGTTGTCGCAGGTGGTAATGTCATCTGTCAGGCCCAGTGCTATGGGATTCACATACATGTAGTTAGATCAAAGATTAATCTTAAACTACAAGCGTTATTACAATAGGTAATGAGTCCCTCGTAATAGAAATAATATTGAGAAAAACATGTCTCCTTACTACATGTGGAAAAATAATTTTCCAGAACAAGCATGTACTTGTTTGATTTTTTTCTAACAAGTTTCTGTAATGACTCATCGATCATTGAAACTTCACCAACCTTCTAGTATAAAATAAGTGTTGCCTGGAGATTTTTTTTCGTAATGATATGAGGATTCAAATATCAAGCGAAACTTATTTCCATAGGATCATTGTATAATATGATTGTTTAATCTCTATGGAATTAAAATATTAACTACACAGCGAAGCTCAATTCTTGCGCGAAATGTATAAAGCCGACTGCACGGAATCGCCCGAGTCGCTGTAGGCTGAACGCACGCGAGCGCCTCCAACGCGGCTGCCGAGTAATGGCGCTATGATGACTCATGCGCGCGAATGCCAATGTTAGCTAGCAAGAGACATGCTCGCGGGCGTTCAGCCTGGTCGATTCCATGCAGTCTACTATACCATGACCATTAGACGAGTTTATTGTTATGTTACTGTTATTAAACTTGCCTTAATTGCAGGAGTTTTCAAAAAAATGAACGCTGTAATTCGCTGTGGGAATTAATGATGAACGGCTAGGTGGACTATCGTTGACAATACAGGCAAAGAAGCGACATAGGTTAGAATGCTAGATTGTGATTTTTGGCATGATCAGCGAAGGAATAGCCCATGATATCGTCGGTAGGCTAGTTATCATTTTTCTGCAATATATAAGTTTCTACGGTTCACTTCATTTGACACATATTCGCCTCTTCTGCTAGAAGAATGTTGCCGGCTCCGTGCTCTTCCTATTCGAATAGCCAAAGATCGGACATTAATCGACGAGTAAGAAAAGCTCAGAGGGATGCTGTCGTCGATGTAAGCACATAGGTCCACTACAAACAGAGCGGAATTACAAAGAATATATTCAGCTCGTCCAATCCACAATCGACACATTCCTCTCGAAGCCATGCGATGAGCCGCAAGTGCTTACTATACGAGTGCCTGACATCAGTGTTACTGTAGCGGAATTGACTCCAGATGAGGCGTCACTGATGGTCAGTTTTGCACTGATCTCTAAAGCTCAAAATCCACCAATCCCTATATATAGGTGTGCAGGCTCTTTTCGGTCATCTACCGTACGCTACAGTAAACGCGACACGTATGCGTCGCGTGTTCTGCGCGGTGCAGGATTACTGTAGCATAGGAGGGCAAAAGGGCCGTAATACCAAGCCACTGTGATTCTGGCACTGTGATTATCGTTATTGCTATCTTTTTTAGATCTACAAACTACTTTTTTTAATTTCTCCCAAAATACCTCAAAACTCTTCATTTCTCAGATGTTTTATGCTTTAGCTTTTTGATATTTCTAGCAATTTTCAGGTCAATAATCCATACTACGACAAGCTGCTAGAAGCAGGTGAAAATAAAAAGAGGGTGCATGCGGCTTGTGCCGCAGCTAGACGATTCTTGGTTGAGGTAATTTCGTTTTTCTAGACGAGGTTTCGATTTCCTTCCAGTCCTTGTTTCTCGCTCTAGAAAGGAAGTGATTGCTTAATTTATCAGATTTTTTGAAAACATTACGTTCAGGGGTCAAATTATGTACTGAGCCAGATCAAAACCCAAGTTTTTTCGTTTCTGCCAAAAATGAATCTTCAGCAAGCTGTCCCCAAGAATGCGCGTCCACCCGAACTAAAAAAGCCAAAGAAAGTACCATCTTCGACCCCTAAGCCAGACCGTGTGGATCTACCCTCTGCAGTTTGGTCTCGACGAGGAGGTGTGTCGCATCTTGAAGACCCTATAAAGGGCCGCGCATACTTTACGAGATTTCAGTCGCGACGCGATTTGGCAGTATTCCAACTGTCCATAACTCACTGTAACCATAGTTTAAATGTACAGAAGAAAGGGCATTTTATCAATCCAAGTAAGTTATACATATTATGCATGTGCATTTTGCTAGTGTTGCTTCTGAATACTTCTGCGAATTGCCAAATCGTCGCGACTGAAGTCGCCTGAAGTATGCCCGACCCCTAAAACATTTCCTTCCATTTCAGCTGGGATTGATATGCATCCCAGTGGTATTGGCTCAAATGAATCGACAAGCATGAGCACTGTGTCAACTGCGACCGGAAAGGTATGAGAAAATGTTTTCTAGTTTCTCCTTGCAAGTTATTTTCAGTCATTCCCTCAAATGCGTTTCCCCAGTAGAAGCTCCTCTACCTACGGAAGTTCGACTAATGGGGAGAGCAAATGAAAAGAAGTGTTGAAAAAAGATGTAATAGTAATAATAGAGTCCGTAGCAATTTCCTCTTGAATAAATATGAAATTATCGATTGATCCTGTTGAAAAGATAGGGAAATACACATGCATGTGCCTAAGTGACAAAGAAATATCCCCACTCTAATGGAGTAAGTGACGACTAAGACATAGATAACTCGTTAACAAGGAGGTCTGCTGAGTTTTGGAAACGGAACAGATTTGCCAAAATTTTCCGCTACGGTTACTTTATTGAATACACCCGCTTTCTTATTATGTTCTCACGCCATCGCAGTTTGATTCGTAAACAAGGTAAGGTTTACAAAAAGTTTAAAATGCTGCCGAATGTTTTTTTAGAACAAGAATCGTTATTCTCCAAGGGCTCGAGGAGGTCCCAAGGCCTTTTTGATGGCTTGAAACAAGTGCATTTGATGCTTATTACATCAAAACATACGTCACTGCAAACAAAAACCGCGTAAACAATCGCCTTTGTTTTCATGGATTTGTTGATTCGGTTTCGTGGTGTCGAGAAAATAGTAGCGTAGCTAACATTATTTTCTATAATTGGACAGGGTTTGTACTATGTGGGCAAGACGCGGAATGAGGCGAGTGCCAAATAACAACAGCAAGATTCAGATTTACCGCTCTTTTCCCAGAAATTTGTGAAATTATTGGGAGAGTTCCTACACAACCTCAGAAAAGCCATAAAAAGAAGCGGTCACTGTTCTCTAGCAACTTTCACCTTCCATCGAAAAATATTTACCCGAATTTGCACGGCAAAAATATCTCTGCTCTGGAATGCGAACTCTTTCAGAGATGCAGTAACACACTAATGACCTCTACCGTGTCAACAAGTTTGCAGATGGCATTTCCAGTTTCTCCGATTTCCACTTTCATGGTGCCACAAATAGGATAACAACTCTGAGGGACTTTAGCCACAAATTCTAGCGCTTGCTCGCGTAAAGGTAACAAAATTATAGATAAAAGCTAACAAAATTATAGAAAAAAGCAAGTGGATATGATAATCTTATGTAATTTCAATAATGATATTGTTAGTTAGGAAAAAATTTGGCACCTTTTTAATATGTGAAAATTAGCTTGTTACGTAGTTTTTTGCACTCAATGGAAAAAAATCTTTATAAAATCCTCAAAAAAATTTTCCCATCTTAATTATGTGGAATGCATTTGCATTTCGGTGTAAACATTTCACACATGAAGAATACAATTTTTGAACTTTATAATTTTTTCATATTATCTTTAATCCAGCCTGCTTCGCTGAAGAGCTCAAACTTTAAAGCTGTTTTCGAATTGTTAATGATGACACCGAATGTCCGCAAAATGAAAATAGGAAAAGAATGAGAGATCAAAGAAATAAAGAAAACTGGATGTTTGAGTGCCATCAAAGAATTGCATCTATAACTGTGACTGATGCCATTGAAGGCAAATATGCTGCCAATGGATAGCCCTTCATCTCTTCCCCATATATGCCAAATTTGAGACTTTGTCGAATATTCTGGTATTTTCCAAAGAAAGAAAAAATTGTTGCGCAACACTTAGTAGAGATCATTGTCGCTAAGGACGACTTTGAGGAAATAAAATTTACGAAAAAAAGCATCAGAATGAAAGCGCTTCATTGACTGAATAAGTTCTGTCCGAAAAATCTAGATTTACTACAAGTGGGATGACATTATCGAGCTTACAGAAAAAAAGAATTTTTGAAGGAAACGAAGCCTAGAAAAATCCATTTCTAATGTTAGGTCCTTCAGTATGGTCAACAAGGAATGCCAGCCCAAATAACGACATGCGGTAACCTTGGAATGCCGATAGTTTTCTCGCATTTAGCTCCCTCTCCTCCCATTTCTTTGTCTCAAACTTCAACGTTTCCTTTTCAATCGCACAGGGTATGCTATTATGATTATTTTTTACTCCCTTACAGAAGCCTTGTTTAGGTTTGCATCAGATTCTCGGAACTCGACACTAGTGCTCCACTTTTGTCGTATGTGTGATGAATTACAGAAGTTGGGGGGAAAATTGTGAAAGCGTTTGACGATTCATATCTTTAATCGCCATTGACGTCGACATAACCTGTCATTGCTAATTAGTCAAAGAATGCTCATATCTTTTGCGATAATTTTCGCTCTATTTCATGCAGGTTAGTTTTGCTTTTAAGAGTCATTATTACGAAGAATTAAGTTCTATTCCAGTTTCAAGCATAACACTGAACGAGAGGATCAATTCTGCACAAATTTCACCAAAACTGCAAATCACTCCGAGAGCAAAGACTTCGGATGCGATTGCCGGACCCAAATCGGTAAGTAATAACTGTATTGTCGCTGTAATCATTCAGATGAATTATTAGTTACCCAGATTCACAAGGTTGGTACACTTCGAGGAGAACCTATCATCAGTCGGCAGAAGAATGTATTCGTAGACGAGAATGGAATTCCCGTGCCGGTATCGCCTCATATAGGAGTGCTACAAGCTCAGCTTGGCCCCCAAATATCACGTAAAACTTAATTTGCTACCTCGATTGTATATATGAGCTCTTTGTTGGATTATTCTGATTTTTTTGTTGATTGTTCAAAAAGATTGAAAAGAGATTATTTACCGTTCACTAATCAAGGAAAAGAGCCGTTCCACCTAGCTCGGACAACTGATCGTGAGATGTATATATGTAACTACCTCGAATAAAGTGATTTCTCTCAAATCGCTCTAACCATGCATAGCCTTTGCTGTTGACCAGGCCAAAGATCTGTAACCTCGAAACAAGTCTGTCAGCACTCGCTTTTGTCTAATAGGAAATTGCCTACTCAAACAGAAAAGTGGTCGTTTATTTTCATACTTAAAATGTGTGAAATAGTCAAATAATCAAACATTAATGACAGTGCGTAGGAAAAACATGTTAATCGTGCGCCTTTCCTCTTCTTCTTCAATGTAAAAATCGTCAAATCTAGGGGAATTTCAGAAGGGAAGTACGAAATAACGTACACAATAATCTTTGTTACAAAAACGCTGTCTAAAAATGTTGAGATAATAGTGAAAGTTGAGGAGGATAAGGACAAAAGATGATGAAGCCCAAGGAGGAATGCATCATGAATGTGCTTGTTCAGTTCGCTCTTGTGAACCAACTTTCAAATATTAATATTATGGTGCTTACTTGCTGCTTTATTTCTATTTTGAAGCAATGCTGAGTGTGAAGCTGGGTCTTAAACATTTTACAAACACTAAAGTTTGCAACACATACATATTCAACCATAGGATTCTTCTGAGAAGCCGTCCTTTGCAGTTTGATTTCTATTTATGTATAACAATTGGGTTCTTGCATTGTGCTACACTGAGATGTCACCTTTCTCAACTTTTTTTTGATGACTGGCGTGTTCACCCGTTTTTATAACCATTTTCATTCAAAAATATATACATTACATGAAAATTGTAGAATGAAGCATAAAAATACTTACAATATAACAGAATAAAAAATAACGCTATCAACACAGTGAGATCACATACAGTTGCAGTCATTGTGAAAATAGAAATGCGAGATGAATTTCTAGTTAGCTTGATCAATTCTCTACTGGCACTGGAACTCCTTGATTGTCAATAAAGACATTCCTCTGACGGGTTTCTATAGGGCGACCAGCAAAAGTCCCTACTGAGTGCAGCTGAAAATACATTTATTCATCTCGCTCACGTTTTAGAGGGCATAATTTATCCAAAAAAAAAGATTTGAAAGCGCAGTGGAGACCATTTGCGTCATTCACAGATTATTCATTGAGATTGTATACATAAAAAGAGAATTTGTTGCTTCTATGCTGTACACTCAAACTTGAAAAGCAGTACAATAGCGTTCACAAAGTGTGCAAAATTTCCGTGAATGTCGCGGAATGTCAAAGATTTCGCGAAATTCCGCGACATTCACGGGAATTTTGCACATTCTTTGATCGGTATTGTACACTATTCATATCCATTTTCTATGAAGTGAAAAGCATACCGAATGCGGACCGGATATAGCGTCTGAGGTATAGGTCAGATCTTGTATGAGATTTCGTTTCGGATGATGCGTTCGCTCAGCTAATCGTTCCAACAGTGTTTCCGCTTGCGCTAGAACATAAGAATATTTTCGCAAGCAAAAGAAAGCACAAAGATAAAAATGTCAATAGGATGAACCTGAAACTAACCACTAGGAAGCAAAAGCCAGAAGATCAAAAAGTAAACTGATAGCATAGCGTTGTCCTTGGTTTTCAGCGTGTTCTTTTTGTACGCTCTTTCGTGGGCGTGGTAAAGCAAGCATCACTATGATAATTTATTGTTCACGCTGAGTTTCCGTGGGAATCCTTCTTCTGATGATATCAGATTTGTGCAAAGCATGAAAATCATTCAACATTGTGTAAAATGTCGGGAAGGCCCAGTGGATCGAACACAAAGAATATTAGTTTGGCTATTGTGTAACATTTTACAGTGCTTGGCACCTCTGAAAAGAACATTCCGTGAGAACTGAGATATAATTTCTGTTCGAGCAAAATTTATTCTCCATTGAAGAAAAGCCGCAAAGAAGTGAGATACCCCGATTTTCTTATTGTGGGGAATTGTGAGAAAATTTCTCTTTGATTGAAGAATTTCAAAATGGCAAATCACAATTTTTAATTTTAGTCGGTTAGAAAAAACTATTGAGATACCAAAATTCTTAATCTATATCCATTACAGCATGAAAACGGAGCTCAGAATGTCAAAGAACTGAGTAATCGTAAAAATCGTCTGTGCTTTTGACCCTAGAGGATTTTTCCCTTTCAGAAGCCTCTCTGTGCTACATTGCTTTGAAGTTGGAGTTTGATGGCAGAAAGGTGGAAAAAATTGTTGTCCTCCTGGTTTCGATGTTGATCAAAAACGTGTAGGTTTCGAGCACTTCAAATCAGTTGAAGCGATCAGATGCTGTAACTAAGTGTGACATAAGGCCAAGTTTTCCGGCAGCAGCCCTTAATTGCTCCAATTTCGAATATCCGGAGATTCTGCAAGAGAACCATGTTGACAATCCAGAACCCTACGCGGTTCTCCTTGGTTTGCTCATTTTCATCATTTTTTAAAGGAAATTTGCACCTTTTTTCTATCTATCAGTGTTAATACTTATCTTTACCAAGACCAGAGTCACGATAATTTTCCAGGATTGGTCTATTCGTATGCTCTATCGTTTGACATCGTCACCGACTTTTGTACCCTGAAGAACAGAAACTGCGACGGGTGCATGACGTATGTTATCAGAAACCGCATTCTATCATAGCTGATCTCTAAGACCAAAAATAGCACAAATGCCGAAATGAACACCTGCGAATGCCTTTTCTGGTGAATAGAACCAGCTTCTTAATGGTGGTATACTATACTTACTTCGTGAAAGGTGAAAGTGACAATTATAAATCTTTCACGCATCACTTGGATGAATGATGGTGTGCTTTGCAAAACGCGGAACTGATCTCTGTGGTTAAGAGATTGATGGGCATGGACTGGTTTGTACAGCTTCCTAATTTGATTAAAAGAATGTACGGCTTTCCTGATTATGCTTGATTTAGTAACTAGATGATACAAAAGAAGATGTGATTATGTCTTTCATACAAGCTTTGATAAGATGCTGGCACAAGATGTTCAGAATCAATGTTTATACATTGATAAAGATTTTGCTGCTCAGCCATCCGTAACTCTCAAATCCACTGACAGTATGGGAAAACAAAGTGTAAGTAAGTGAAAATAAAAAGAGTGAGAAAATGAGAGTGAAGAGATTAATTTTTCGAATGGAGGTGAATGTTTCCAAAAAATGGACACCTTAGACAATCTTATCGTTTTTGAAACTGACAAGAGTACCTACAATCAACTCTCACAGTCACTCTGTGTCTTCATCTCAGCGAACGATATTAAATATCTCACTGTTTCGTTATGAAGTATTCCATATCTCTGGCTTCTCCATTTGATAAGGAAGATTTGAAAAATATTCTCCTTGCTGCGGAACTTTATGATTTCTCAAAGTTTTCACGTATGTCTGCAGATGAACAAGCTTATCTGCTTTGGTACTGTTGCTTTTCGAAGCATAATGACATTTGGCCGAATAATTAGTACATAACTTTTTTCCACAACAAAGTTTTTCCCACTGAAGACTTGTCTTTGCGCATTTGCGGGGCTAATCGTCATATATCATTGTCAGCATTCAAATTTTTTCTGATGTGAAGAATATTGAAGAGAAACGTTCACAGTTTCCATTTTTTGAAGATGATATGAGTAAATTTGATAGAATGATTCCACCGTACAACCTTAAAACATCATTGAGATTACGCATCGGAGTAAGAATCACTGATGTTCTGTGATCAGAGCTCTGTTGATATAATTACCAAGCAATTTCATCAAGAATGTGTCATGCAAGTCCTAGTGCATACATATCTAAGAGCGGAGTTTAGAAAATGCAGTGCTTCTGATTGATCAAAAAACGAACAACTGCCTGAGTTGAATTGTGCTGCTATAATATAAGCAACTAAGCAGGCTTTGAATTGCTAATCTTCACGAAACACATTCTTTGTCCAAATGTATTTACAAATAATACAATAATTCTGATTATGCGTAATTGCAGTTTCAATGAGCAAGCTGGCTAAACCTTCACTTACCCCTGACCACCTTCAAAATTTCAGCAGCAAAGAAACCTTATGGGATCATAACGCAACTCAGCTATGGTGTTTTTCTTTGTTCATGTGAAAGAGGCAGAATGAGTTAACGCCGATGGTCTCATACAGTGTGATTCAGTTTTGCTTTTCGTTTTTTTGTTTACGCAATGAAGGTAGTATCAAATTGGCCGTGATTTTCTATACGCCCTCTTTCAGAACGTTTGTTGGCTAATTATCTTGCGGTATTTGGGTCTTCCTTGATAGTTTTACTTTTAGCCTGGCTTGGCCATTAAAGGCTCTAGTGTCTTACTTTGGGAACCTGATCATTTTTGGTATGGCCTACTAGAAGGTTGCAGCCTTTGTTAAAACTACCCTAGAATAACTCTCGTGATTATTTTTTGGCGCTATTTCCTTGTTCAAGTAGGAGCTTCATCCTTTCCTAGAACATCACATTGCTAATGCGACATTGAACGAATTAGTCATTGCATGCGAATTACCAGACAAAAGAGTTTCACTGTTAAGATCCAAAAATCCGAGCATCGCAATCTCCTCTTAAACCGGAGATTAGTCGACAAACCAATCAGATCAGATTAAAGTTGAAGGGTTATCGGTTATCGCTCTCACAATTCACCACATTTTCGCGTTTTGCTTGGGGGAGTGAAGCGTGACAAGTTAGTAGCTGACCCGATGTTTTCATCACCTCGCTCATCCAACGGCTGCGGCGATTTATGTTCTGGATGGAATGCAGCAATGACTGACAATCCTGCGCCTGGCGAGCTCATATCGCACCTTTTTCAACTTTTAGCTCTTCGAGATCCTAGCTATTGATAGCTGTGAATTTATAAGGGCCTTTGATGATGTTTGAAGATCTGCATTTATGGCTGAGGAATTTATATGGCTTGTTTTTCGATCTTCGCGAGCATAAAAAATTTCTCAGTGCTCTCATGCTCACGAGGACCCATGCCAGCGCAGAAGGTGTGACAAATTTGTGATCCCTCTATTAATTTATCTTCTGTAAATCATTTTCTAAGCTTTTCCTTTTGCAAAAAAATCTTTTCGCTATTGCCTACTTTTTATTCTGATAAAAACATCATTTGGCTGTAAAGTTATAATTTTGATAGATATCAAATCCAAAGCTTTCTTGAATCTCGGTAAGCCAATGAGGATCATTGCACTATGCTCTTGCAATCGAACATCTGTCCCATCAAGCAATTGATTACATTTCCACAAAAAAACTGTGCTAAGCTCTTCTAGGCTGAGCAATAAGAATTGGCTATTTTTAATTCTATTTTATTTCTACTTTCTCCTGCCATGAATTTCTGATACTGTATCTGCGCGTAAAGTTGAACTGAAACTCAAGATAGATCAAAAGATTGTTGGATTGAAGATTTATGAGAACAGCAGCATCGAATTTCAAAGCATTTCTAATATGATAAGAAAAATCATTGTAGAACTATGATGATCCTAAACACTTTCATCTGCTGAAATACTTTCACTCCCTTACTTCTTTGATCTTATAAGCTCTCCTCTTAGACCAGGCACCTGCAGACTAATTTGCATCCTCCTTCCACACTTCCTGCAAGTTTAAGTGAAAACCACCACAGAATTAGTCAAAGACTTTTCGACGAGATTGAGTGACGTTTATATTAATTGAGATGCTATCTAAATTCGAACATTAACCGCGATCTTTACAACAGTTTGTTATTGTTATCAACGACGAACATCATGGAAACAATCGAACGCCTGACCTAAAAACTCGCATTCCTATACTATAACGGCTAGGATTTCGGAAGCTACTACTCGATAACTTCGCCCAGTTAGCACCATCTTAGACATCGTAAATCGTTCTATAATGTCTCGTACGTTGTGAATGCTTCTGTATCTTGTGCATCTTGGAATCGAGAGATGGTAGCCTTAACAATGAAAAGCTAGTGACATAAAGGAAATCTGCCACGGAAAGAATTTCAATTGTCATCATAAATTAGGTTGTCCGTCTCAGTTCACAACTTTCCAACAAAGTCTGTCGTTTTTTTAGGGCATTTTCTTTGTGTATGATATCTTTGCAGAAGATTTCCTAGTTCTAAGGCTGGCAGGTCACAAATGAAAACCATTTTCTTCTTGCTTTAGCTGCTTCTTGCAAAAGTTTGTGCGTACTATATGAAGAGCTTCACACGTCTGAATGGTCATCGGCTTGTCTAAGTTTTCTACAAATAAATAGATCAAAAAATCTCAGTTTTCAGTAATTTCAAGTGTTTTTTTATTTATTTTATACGATCAATTTCACTAGCAATCCTACAGTTCCTCTCCTTCTTTGTGTTCTGGTTTGCTCTAAATTTGTGAAGAATTTTTTATCTTTTATTCCTTTTCTTCGATTTTTCTTTCACTCATGTATAGTATCAGTACAAAAGTCATATGAGTGCATAGCCTACTCACTCATACTGTGGTGAATAAAGCTCTAGGTGAACATATTGCAAATCCTGTTTTTTTTTTGAGTAGATGATGCGGATTTTTTCGTTGCAACAGCTTTGAGACTTTACTAAAAAATGAAGAAAGAAATATAGAAATGTAGAAATGTTGCTGTATTTCCTGTGCTTCAAAAGTGGAACAACAAAAATCAGAAAACATTAGGGAAAAAATAATTGAGTGCACTTTCAAAAAAAGGTCAGATACAGCGTGAACTAGCTCTTTCTGCCAATTTCGTGGAGCCAGTGGAGAAACTACACTTCCTAATATGTAAAAGCGATAGAGAAGAATTTCAAAAAGTTTTCTAAAAAGAACTGATCGATCTTCTACGATCTAGCACCGCTATTTGCTTATTTTGAAAGTTATGCTAGCAACTGTCCATCCCATACCTACGCAATGATGTGTGAAAAGTGCGAGCAGAAGAAAACGCCATTTTTGTAGTTCTGTTAAGATCTAACCTGGCAATTACTTCTTTAGCAATTACGTTTCGATTTACTCGCTGCCTCGTACAATGATTTTTGGTTATTTCATACTTTTAAGGATGCGCTTTCTGCTCGTGTCCTCGATTATATGGGTAACGAGCCAAGCAGCGATGAAGACAGACTTGTACGTCTGGCTCGAGCAGAATAGCTATATCTGTAAGTTTCAATTATCATTTCTTGCATCTTGGAGCATCGCTTATGTTGCTGCACTCCATTACCGTTTCACTTCAATTTCTTCTTTTCAAGATTTTTGCTTCTTTTCCGGTGTCCTTCAGTTCGATATTAGCTTGCTATGAAAACTTGTCCACCAGGTGAAAAAAATTTTTTTAGAGGGGATTCGCCCAAATAGATGCGTACCTTAAACCAAACAGAGTTGGCCCTTAACTCGAAAAAAGTACATGTTACAGCTCTGAAGACTTTTGCCCTTTTGCAGTTTGTAGCTCTGTGGAATAAATTAGTCCCTGTAAAACTCGTCGCATCCCTATCTATATCTATCGCGTTCTTTATGTTTTACAGCATTATCGAATTTTTGTTTCTGATCGCAAAATCAGTGAAAATCCATTTTTGCTAAAATTTTCAACTTGTGCATTTTGAAGCAATGCGCTAAGCGTAGTGGAAGCCCCCTAGTTCGAGTGCTTAATCCTGTCTACCAGTCTGTTTGCAAGCCATCTTTTAGGTGATCTTTCTATGATGGGTGGTCCGCATTTTCTCTCCCCAGAGGAATCGAAGCAGTTTGCCTGCGATTGCGGTGATCCACTGATAAGCAAATCAGCTTGTTCTCGAAGTGCCAAAGAGATCCCAGTGTGTCGTGAAAGTAAGTTATCAATGAAATATGTATGCGCAACTTCACTGCTATTTCAGTACCCGATTTATGTATGAAAGAGTACATTATTATTTTCACTGAAGTTGGGGATAGACTTGCGGGTAAGTCAGCTCTACTCAACGAATTTCGGAACTTTCAAAGCATACATAAAAATCCAGAGCCATTGACTACCCGAGCATCAACCACTACGACTGAAGCACCCTCAACCACCACAGTGGTAGCAACTACTATCAGAGGATTGTCAACGCAGAATCGACAACCTACTTTCCGTCAACTGACGAGAGTCCCAGAGAGAAGATCCTCAAGAAGGGAGTTCCTGTTCAGAAAGAGGATTCCCACTACAACATTTTCGCCGACTAGGAGAAAAATGTTCACACTACCGGTAATATTTTTCAACCATTTGAAACTCACACTTGCAAGTTTTTAAACTCAAAAGTTCATTGCGCGGCCCATTGGCCATTACTGCAACTCAAAGCTAACAAAAATTGCAAATCATTCAAAGTTAGGTATTTATATCTGCTCAAAAGACAGCCGCTAAGCTTAGCTCAGTCAAATGTAAATCTCTAGGAATAATACCGTCCTATAATCACCTTAAGCCCTCACAGTACAAACAACCAATGAGTTCGGTAAATCCTGCCTTCCACAAAACTCAAGATTTTCACTAACCATTACTATGATTACAGTAGGAGGCAATTTGTGATCAGCAGCCCAAGTAACCTGTAGGCACGTTCTTACTTTTCTAATTTTTCCACAACTTGATTTTAAACAACACGCATATGACATGTCGTAAACTTGAATCCAGATTTCAAGGTTGAAGGTTGAGCAAAACGGTCAAGGAAAAAAGCCATTCACGAAAGAAACGCTTTCTTATCAAGTTTATTTTGTGGCAAACAATTCTTTTGTCCCGCACATTTCTTTGATCCGATTAGCAAAAGTTTATCAGAGCAATTCATAGCAATTTCAGCCTCTGTTCATTACGAAAAGCGTTTCAGAATCGTTTCCTCACTCGGCGACCGCCGCGACCGGGTCAACGACCACAGCCTCGAATCCTGCTATCATCTCGCGCTCGTCCCTCGTCCAGAATTCGTAAACCGCAGCAACGGCAGCCTACCTTGAGTACAAGGAGTCACAGAACAGTTGTCACAAGAAGACCAACTACAACATCCAGCACTACCACGACAACTACGACCACTACCACACCTACGACTACTACTACACCGACCACTACTACTACTACTACTACTACTACACCTACAACTACCACTACTACACCTATAACTACCACGACTACACCTATAACTACCACTACTACACTTGCAACTACCACTACTACGCCGACCACCACCACTACTACTCCTACTACTACGACTACTACGACAACACCCAAACCGACAACTACCACTTCTACCACGACAACCACCACTACCACTACGACACCCACGACCACCACCACTCCCAAACCAACGACTGCTGCACCTACCACAACAACTACCACTGCAGCACCCAGTACCACGACGACGACACCCAAAACGACTACGGAGAAAACCACTACAACGAGCACTACGAGCACTACAACAACCACTACTCCGAAGCCGACCACTACCACTGCTACGACCACTACATTGAAAACGACGACAAACGTGATGGAAGTGATCAAAATGAGCAAGACGGAGCTACTGCTTGCCGAATTGAAAAGTAGACTGCGTAATTTAGGGCACGACGAGCCTGAGCATCCTCTGAAAGGTTTGGAGGAGTTGTTTATGGGGAGAAAGCCTATGACAACCACCACGACTACCACCACTACTACTCCCACTACTACCACTACTACTACTACTACACCAAAGCCTACGACTACCACAATGACCACAACAACAACTAAATCGCCCGATTTGATAGAGGTAGATAGAGAAGCTAAGAAGCCTAGTGATATGATGACATCGGGAGAGATTAGTGCAAGAAAATCGAAGAAAACACAAAAGGAAACAACTACAAAGGAGAGTGCCAAAGTGACAACGCTTGACTCAAAACCAAAAGCTGCGGATTTGGAAGTTAAACCCTTGAAATCAAACAAAGAAGTTGATGGAAATGTAATTGAAGCTTTCCCACCTGAGGAGGAGAAGAGACAGCCGCTGACACAAGATGAGCCAGCTCAAAGGAATCTAGAGCTAAACAAAGCCAATGATGATGAAATATTCGCTGAAAAAAACCCCAATGGCAAAAAATTGGGATTGTCATGGTCGAGCGAAAAGGAGACGATTGAGATCTTGAAACGAAAACTCGAACAGTTAGAAAAGCGACTCACTCAGAAGTAAGTGTTTGATCTTTGATTGTATACTGCTTCAAGCATTGCGTGAAAATCAGTTGATCGAGCTAACACTGTAAGATACTCTGCAGCTAAAGCTAAGCTTTTCTTGGATCAGTGCTTAGGAGGATTATAGCTATGTCAAGAATTTTCAGCTTCTGGAATGATTTTAGAAATCGCAATTCTCTTTCCTGTTGCGCACAAAAGATACGAAAGATATCCTCTGTTTTTTCAAGTATAGCAGGGATGAGTCACCATTCTATCCCCATGCAAGAAATAATTAAACAGAAAACACAAAGACTTAGCATAGTCGCATTATTTTCCACTGTTAGGTGATAATGATCTCGTTACAGGCGTAAAAAGTATAGGCGATTGTAGCATGCAAAGACTGCGGACATATCGGCGTCTCACTGATCGAGCTCTCTTTCGTTTCTCTTACCAATTGCTGCCTCTTCCATGCACAAATTATCTTGGCCGGACGCAATGGCGTCCAGTCTTTGCGTGTCATGAATCGCGTATACATACGCCGATTTTCCAAAACTGAAAAGAAACAGCTTTTTGTTAAGCTTCTCGAAATTCTGGGAGATGTAAGGTGCAGATAGAACTGCACTGATTGAACCGCTGGCTCCATAACTTAAAAAACCAAGCATTTTTTTAACTTCACGAATACTTATTCAGATTCGAAGGAACAGGAGCAGTTGCCAAAAAATCCGAGAAGAATGACGACTTGGTGGCCAGTGACGACGATGTAGCTCATATACGTAGTCAATCACGACTGGATTCTCGACGTCGCAGCTCAAACCTTGATTTGGGAGAAGATGCTATACTGAGAAGTATTGATGATATAGAGAAGGTACTGGATGTAGTATCTGTGCCTTCGAAGGAAGCACTATCCAAGCTGAAAACACATAAAAAGAAAGGTGACGATGTGGAAGGTTCTGGAGATGGAACAGCTGAAGAAGAGCCTGTCATAATACCTTCTACGACTTCCTCATATACGTCAGCAGAGCTGCTTACTTCTGAGGCGGTAGGATAATTTTCTTGCTATCATTTCTTCTTCTGAGTTTTTTTGTGTTCAGGAATCTACGACACCTAGTACCAGCTGGTGTAGAGATAAACACAAACTATGCCCTATATGGAAAACGGGACATCTCTGCCAAAGCAGCCCAATGTTTATGTACAGATTTTGTAGGCAATCATGTGGATTGTGTGTTGAACGAGTGTAGACTATAGTCAGTAGTTTGCTTTATTTGTTATTTGCCAATATTATGTGCTCATATTGTTATTTAATAAACTTGTACATCAAGAACTTACTTTCTGAAACTCAACAAACTCGTGGAGAATAGGGCTACGAAAAAAAGATAGAGATGAATTGAGCGTTATGTACTCACGTATCAAATTGATCGGGACAACGATTTACAATTGATACTTAGCAGTGAAGGACGAGGGGAGGGCAGCAGGCGAAAATGGGTGGAGGAATTGAATCTATTTCTAGTACGCTTATCTAGCTCATTATAAAGTGTACCCTCCTGAGAGTTGTTTGCAAAAATTCAAATTCTTTGCACAGGATGAAGAACCATAATAACTGATGATTATCGACACTCTTACATAAGCTCGTAAAACATGACCTGAGCAGCCCATGTGGTATTGACTATGATAATTTTATATCCAGGTGGGTCTTTTGTGTCAGCGACAAAGAGTGACAGCTGGCCTCTAGCTTTACCGCTATGTCCTCAAGCACTTTAACTTCCTGCATGTTTCGGTTTTTTCTTTATTTGCGGCAACAGATATGTTTTCAAGGATGGATACAGTCGAGTAAATTTTCCGCTCAATATAGTGTGCTAACACTGAAGGTGAAATGCGGTAAAGAAATGGCTACGCCTGTGACGCCGGTCATTTGCGCGCGCAAAATGTTGGCATTACTGGCGTAGCTAATTGTTCACGCGCAAATTTTACCGCATTTCACCTTCAGTGCAAGCACACTATATTAAGGGGAAAATCTACTTCACTGTAGAAAACCTTCCGTATCTCTAGCAAGATTAGCTTATCGCGCACATTCAAAAAACCCACCTCTTTCCTAACATAATACTCTAAAAGAATTTGTCATAAGAAAACCAAAACTGTAGAAATTTGAAAATTTGACGTTCCGATTTTTCGACCTATATTTCCTATGTTTTTTAAGAACAACTTTTCTTTCATGTCAATATTTCAGCAATTCATATCAACACTGGAAGCATCTAGCAATGCATTGAGATCTACTTCTCATAATCCTTCACATAGGCTGCGAATTTCAGACTCTCATAATTAATATTTTACGAGAGTTTTCTAACAATTTATCCTGTCTTTGAATAGCATTTTGCTAACGACGTGTTTTAAAATGGGTCTATTCTTTCTGCGGAGTTATGAGAATCACGATGAAAACAGATTTGGAATTAAATTAAGTTATCGTGAGCCGCATCCACATGAGAGTTCTACATCCATCAACAACACACAGCAAACAGCTAAGGTCATTCCCATATTTTTTGGCTTTTGCAAAACAGGAACAGTCACGCTCAAATTAGGCAAAAATTCGAACAATCCAGAATTTTTCCACTCTTCTGCTTTTTCTCTACTTTCTGACGAGTGAGAAGCATGTTTGAAATTTGAGAGAATTCGGAGATTTTTACTCTGGTGACTGCGAGTGTATTAGATTTCTAGATTTGTTGGCAGTTGGCAAGCGTTTTTGTACTTACGCCTCTTCAAAGTTCTACTTGCTCTCTAAGTGGCGCTTTTCTTCTCTTGATGTCCACCAAGTTCTTTGCAAGCTTCTTCTCTATTTTTCTGAACAAAAAAAATCTGCAAAATGTACCACTGGCTCAATTCACTTGTCAGGTAATTGCCATTATGTGGAATTACTGGAACGCTTGAAAATTGCGCTGAATCAGTGCGTAGGCGAGCAGCTAAATCTTGCGAGTTGGCCCTCACTCCTAATTTGTCCCAGATGTTCTCAGCGCCATCCTTGCCGAGTCTAGCAATGGCTGGTTAAATCTCTGGCGCTTGTACGCTCTCTGGATCTCCGGGAGGTCCATCGTCGTTCTCCGGCCATTACACACTATTCTGCGATGAGTCGTCGCCAGCCGCTTGCTCTTCGCTTCTTCGCAAGTGCGCCGGTCGGGGGCGGCGCCACCACTGCAGCCGCCACGGGGCCCCGACTCCGAATGCGAATTTACTTGCATGTTTAGCACAATCACTTAACTCGCTAATTTCGATCCCACCACTCAGCCAGTCATTCAGCTTTCTAGCTCTATTCCAGTGTGTCGAATGAACACGATGCATGTGTTGCGACGCCGAAGCATCAGCCACTAACAACGACGCGATTCCGACGACGTGGGTGCGTTCTGGGACAGTCACGTCTCCCGAAGCACCTCGGCACTCTCGGGATCATCATCCCTGATGTGGAATGAAACGTCAGAATATTCGTACGCTATCACTGATCGTGTGCACATTTACGTATCTGCTTGTTGGTGCTGCCGTATTCGACGCACTCGAATCAGACAACGAATTGCAACAGGTTAGTCTGGCATAGTTAGTAATTTACAGTTTCTTCTTTATAAGCTTCAAAATCATCCTTTATCGCATATTATGTATATTCTCATTCTTTCTACTCAATTTCTTTTTTCTGCATAGTTCTTACTCTGTTCTCCAGATCTGAGATAATACTTTATATGCCAGTGATACACGCACTACATTCCCCTTGAGAACTACAAAAATTTTCACTTCCCACTTAACCTTTTAGCATGCTCTAAATCCAATTTTAATTACCACTTCCGACGCAGCACTCCAAAAATGACTAAGCTGTGTTTCCAAAAGATTTTTTTTCTAAACTATCGATTTTGCAAGCGCTGGAAAGCAAGTTGGACAACTTTGCCCGGGACTCATCTTTACAATGATCCATAAAGAAATGCTCTTAGTTGACTGCATATGCTGCTCGTTAGAAACTAATGACATAATCATACACCCACTTCCTTTGCATGTGGTTATAGATGAGAGTAAAAGCAAAGGCAGAAAATGACTGCGTTGTAGCTATCTGATGAAAACGTCCCAGCAACTGCTAGAGGGATTTCTTGTAGACGACCAAATAATCATAAACCTTCGCTCGATAAATGGCTCCTAAAGAATCTGTTCGTGATGAATCTGTCACGAATAAGATTTATTTTGCTGTGCAATAAAAATTTATGCAAAAGCAAGTGAGCAAATTTTTCTTTATGCTCTAACTAATATGGTTTATACATCTTACAGAATTTTTGTTCATTAAAATTGTGCTTTAGCGGCAATCAATAAACTTCTGAGCCTGCCAGATCTTTGCGTTTAATTCATATGATTTATCTCTCCATTTTCTTATTCTTAGTTCATTCAACACTTTTTGCCTCGCTGTTTAGGACAGGTGACACTCAACGGTTATGACTATCTGAAGCATACTTTTCACTTTCTTGTTAATTGTCACTGGTTTTCTTGAAACACTTTGATCTTATGAATTTCTATGATAGCTGCGCGCTCATTCAATACAATTATCCAATTATATTAGGTTAGTCCGAAAATGCTGTTTTTTTTCATTTTAAAAAATGATAACTTCTCGCTACCTGCAAAATTTTTGAAAAAGAAGAAACCTTCTAATTTGTAGTAAAGTCTTGGCGACTTCCTTCCAAACACTGTTTGCAGAGATAAAATTTGATGAAGAAGTACCGTTCTTTTCGATTCATTTAAAATAGACTGCCAAAAGTCTGAAACGTTGCAGAAAAGTTGGAATCATCAGTACAAAAGTTAGACTTACATTTTTAGCTGTGGAAAGTTTGTGCTGATCGGACGTACATGAAAGGTACTTTTTGAGAAACATGATAGAATAATATATACCACCATTTTCTATCGTGAACTCTAAAATCATAACTTCTTATATAGACGTCCGTTCAGCACTAACTTATCAGAGGTGGAAGGAGAGGTCTTAAAACTTATGTGCATGACGATTCCGATTTTTTTTGCAGCGTTTCAGGTTCCTGGCTGCGAAACCTAAAATGATCGAGGCTAGAACGAACTTCTTCAGATTTTTCTCTGCGACCAGTGTCAAAAAGCTCAATAAATTTCACATACAAAGTAGAAGGCTTCTTCTTTCTAATAAAATTACAAACCAAATCTGTTCAGGTAGCGAGAATTTACGATTTTTTGAATATGAAATAGCAGAACTTTTGGACCTACCTTATATTTCGCTTCAGCCTTTTCCATGCTTTTTGGCCATTTTATTCCCAATGGTTACGGTGCAAGCATGATAACTGAGCTGTTTTTTTAAGGGTGTAACATGTTGTTGATAATTGATGTTGCTGCTATCTTTTGACATTGATTGGACCCATTTCCTTTATTTTTGCCACTGTGATTCTCCTCTACAAAAGCAATCTCCTTTACCCGCCCCCCCCCCCCGCCCTTCACCTCTTCCTCCCACGCCTCCTTCGGCACTCTAGACACTGGTGATTTTCTTTGTTCATGTTGTATGTTCGTGTTGATGGAAGTGACGTCGAATCTGTCGTTTTGCTGTAAAGTGCACACACCACGCGAGTCGCAACATTGATTGCTGGTGATTAACGGAACCATGCGGGATTTATGTGTGGTTAAGGATCCAAATTTTAGATACAAGAAATATTGCGCAATTTTTTTTCTCAGTACCGTTACCATTTGTACGACAAGTCAGTTAAATTTTGAATTTATCTGCTTTTTTGTGAGAAGCAGCTGACTTGTAGCTTTCGTTTTTACCACCGGAAAGCAGGAGAAATATTCTATGCATCTGCGTTTCCTTTTCCCTTTTTTCCCGCAGTATGTGACATTCAAAAACTTGAAGACTAACTTTTATCAAGTTTCTTCTCTTGATTCTGCACTTATATTACCGAAATTACTTGGTAAAAATCGCGCCTTATATTTCCAACAATCAAATTCCTAAAAAGGATGGTGGTAAATAGTCTTTTGAGCAAATCACAGATCTTAAAATATTTCATTGCTGAACCTATCAGATGTCCTGATCGATGATTTCGAAACTTTATAAGAACTGGACAACCATATTTTTTTAAGGTCGTTTGTGTCTGAAAGCAATAGCTTTGAAAGATCAAAGTTATGAAAATCAAGCACCTGTTAAACATCTTACATGACACGTACAAGTGAAACTCGAGCTGAGACCAAAAACTGCAACGAAGAGCAGAAGATATATCTTATTTCCTATGTTCGAAAACATATGATCAACATCTTGCATACATTAGCGGGGAGAATCTTTCATTTATACATGAAGAGTTTAACAAATTCTTTTACAATTCTTTATCTACATTCATTTTGCTGCTAAAGTATGGCTGCACAGTAGAACACTGGTAATACATTTCGTGCAACTTTGCTACAAATTACCGTACTCTTCATGTGCTTCTGATCTGCAGTTAGCGATTTGAAAACGTTCCGCATTCAATATGCTCAGATCCATACGTAAAGAAGAGGGCAAAGTTGAGAGGGCTGTTAATAATACACTTCTGTCCTGCTGCAATTTTTTCCTGTAATGACAGATGATAGGTGAAGAGCTTTGACAGACCGGGAGGAAGGCGAAAAAGGGGCAACATTCTAGGCAAGGAGTACCAGTCCACACAAGAAACCAGGATTTCGATTTTCTCATTTCCAATCAAATGTGTTGATTTACATCCACCATCTGCGCGGTCTTTCGATGATATGACGTATAGAACAAGTCCGCAAAGTTTTTCTTAGATCATTGTATCATGCGAAGGAATGCACATGTGGTCCACGAAATTCGTATGTTATAACACCCCCAGCTTTCGCATGCGTCATCTGTAAGGGATGTTGGCGAAATAAAATGTTGACATCAAGCTGTCAAGAAATCCTCTCAAAAAATCATCTTAGCAAAGAAAACGAGCTTCTTTTAACAAAACTCGTTTTGAAGAAATCCACTCAGAACTTAGAGTGACCGAATTTCTAGTGTCTCTCCTATTGTCTAACGCCTTCTGATGCACTTGATCACCTTTCCCTCCTTTTTCCTCTTCTGTATGACGATCAGAATTTTTTTGTGTGCTTTGTCAAGTATGTAATCGAATAACTTTAGCAGCTAGTGCGTCATCTAACCACAAAGCCTTCGAGAAGGAAGTTGAACACCCCATCAAAAAGGCTAGCCAAGTGTCTCATGTATCATCAGTGACGTAAATCTGCTGTGCAGTTTCGCACGTGTTTCCGGCCAGAAATACGCTTGGTAGCCAACTTCTATTGCAATTGCAGGAGCTTCTTTCCAAGTAAAGTGCTAGCTTACAATCAGGTTGTAATCTGTCAAAAATGAGCTAAAATGCACTAGCATTTTCGTCATAAAGCTTTTTACATGAAAAACTAGAAACAGTAAGCCGTAAGTATTTTTAAAAATTTGCAGCTTGAGGCTAAGCATCGTTTCTGCTGTTCGTTGAGTTTGCCTCCTCCTCCTCCTTTCATTGACTGATGTGTGCTGAACCGAACATATGTACCATTAAAAAAAGGCCATCAAATGTCTGTCATTGCTTGAGCTACATTATTAATAGTCTGACATATTTTGTGCAGTAAGCTCCTCGTAAACAACTTGTTAGATCCAGAAATATGAGTCGCTTATTTTTAACTTCTTACTGCAAGTATTTGAATTGTTGACGTCGTCTCCAATCTTGGGCGTTCCCCATGATGAAAGTACGAAAAATATATCCTCGAGCTCATAGTTGGTGATTATTAACCAGTTGCCCTACCCCCGTGTAAATGTTTGGGACACATATACTATATAAGGGGTGGGTGTAGCAGACAATAAAAACGATAAAAGCTATATGCGTTCTCAAATGCCATATCCACTAAATTGTGACTATCCTTAGCAATATATCGACACATTTTTGGATGAAATGCGCTGAAAAATTCTTGATTAATACACTTGATAATGTTGGAGATCTGATCACTCAGCATGATCGTTTATTTTTACGTACCAGGTATCTACCAAGCAGCATCTCTCGTTTGCCACATCCCGGTGTTTGCGTTGGAAGTGGTATATTCTATTCGCAATGTCCCAGCAGATATACACCAATTTTTAGGACAGTTTTCCTTTGCATTAATTGTGCAGTCTTGGTAGATGTGTTATGCGAGCTTAAAGGCAGTGTCCACGCAGATTTGGAGCTGCTCAGTTCCAACAGTTTACTGAAGCGGGCTCCTCATGCAGACCATAGCCCGGTTTCGAGTGCAAAATATTGCTTGTGAAGCGAGTAAACCACTTCACAAGTCTGAACAGATACGCCCCTTTATTTGTACCGAAGCAGGGAATCCGACTGGGACGCCGCCGTTGCGACGCTGTCATTGGCTGCAACCACGCGTCCCGGCACGATTACTTGCTTCGGTACGGACAAGGGGGCGTCTCTGTTCAGACTTCTGAAGCGGTTTACTCGCTTCACAAGCAATATTTTGCACTCGAAACTGGACTATGGTCTGTATGAGGAGTCCGCTTCAATAAAATGTTGGAACTGAGGAGCTCCAAATCTGCGTGGACACTGCCTTTAATGGCATGTCAAAATTTCTATATGTTGTTCCTCGCTTCTGTGTTTTATGCTTTTAAGATGTTCCCGCCAATCCTTTTCGATTTTCTCTCTCGAATGATCGTTCAAGATGGCTATATTGCAATTATTTGGTGCACTCATGTGCAAATTACATATTTCCTTCTTTCAGCGCGCCCTTGTACAGCGAGTGAAAGAAATGTTAATGGCTAAATATAATATGACGAGCGCTGATTATGATGTTTTAGAGGTTAGTACTTTGAGCTTTTATCGCTTGACAATTTTTGATTTCGACTTTCAGGCGACTATTGTTAAAAGTATTCCACACAAAGCGGGTTATCAATGGAAATTTAGCGGTGCTTTCTATTTTGCCACTACTGTCATTACTACAATAGGTGAGTTTCAAGTTCCAGATTTTGCAGCGGGTTGTACTGTCTTGCTGCCTGCTATAGGCCTCGGCCACACTTCACGCAACTTAGTCGCGACGCGATTTAACAACATTCCACTCGTTGCAAACGTAATGTAAAAGCACAAAAGTAGGCATTTCACCAGTGTGCGCTTGTAAATCGCCAGTTTTGGATTTATAGACATCTGACAAACTGCCAAATCGCATGGTGATTAAAATCGCATGATCGCGTGAAGCATGCCTGTAGCCATACGCCCTTCTATGACGCAATCATGTAATCTGATAGTGGCACAACTTCAGCAAGATTGTACACGTCCATATTTAAGATTATTTTCGCACTAGCTGGCTTGCCCGGCTCCGCCGGGCCTGCCAGCTAGACCCGTGTACGTATGTTCCGAATAGAAATTTTTATCTCTGAACCGATTGGGACCGAACTTTGCACACATACACTTCGGGGCAGGGAGCGTGTCACAGCCCACTTTTCGTTATCGATCGATGTCGATTTTACCGATTTTTTGCAAAATTTGAGCTAGGGGGCTAGGATTTTGCACAGGGGGGTAATCGAGCATGCTGATCACCCCGAAGGGGTGATCAGCATGCTCGATTACCCCCCTCTGCCAAATCCCAGCCCTCTAGCTCGAATTTTGCAAAAAATCAATAAAATCGATATCGATCGATAACGAAAAGTAGCCTATGACACGCTCCCTGCCCTGAAGTATATGTGTGCCAAGTTTGGTCCCGATCGGTTCAGAAATAAAAATTTGTATTCGGAACATACGTACATACATACAGACAGACAGACATGCAGACAGACATACAGACAGACAGACAAACAGACATTCAGCTTTATATATAAGATTATTAAATTGTTAAGAATCTCACATATTTAATATTACTAACTATGATAAGAAATGCACTATGACTTGTGACGTTTCAAGACAACCCATAGAAATCTTTTCTTTCCAGCATTCTATTGCTAGAGAACACTTACTCTCAGCTGCAATTTATCTTACTTGACTGATGAACAACTGCGGTTGAAAAGCGAGCAGATCTATGTTAACTGCATTTTTTGTGCTGCTGCTGTCGGAATGCAAGACAGATCCACTGACTGAAAAACCATGTTGTACGCATCACATGAAGAGACGCATACAAACGACTTTTTTGTAAAAAATCAACGAACGAGACTAATTTAGCTCCCAAAAGGTCTTATACTAAAATGACGCTGATTTTTTGCACTAAGGTAAATTTTAGCTTTTGTTAGAGTGAAATGAAGAAAATGTTCAGTATTTTGATTGGAAGGCAATGTGGAAACTTCCTTAGCAAGTCTGCGTAATGGCGTGCAGACTCTGCATATCCGCATCAAAATAAAACGAATGATAAGCAATGGCAGAATTGCTTGTTACTCGCAGGTGCAAGAAGTACACCCCCCTTTGCTTGAAATGAGCTACTTACATAATTCCTAATTCCTTTATTCCTTCAATTCCTTCATCTCCCTGAGTGGCATGTAGGTACTGAATGCGCACAAACCACTCACTTATACGTTTCATTCTAAGCAAGCGTCTTCCAAATGTTATCAAATGCCATATGTAACTTTCATTGAAAGAATCAATTGAAGAATGGCCAGAATCTTTCTTATCTGTTTTTGTTTTTGCCTAAATGGGTGAAACCGTTTTTTTGTATAGTATTGTGCGCGTAGTATTGATTGTTCTTGACCTTAACATCAAAACGCTTTAAGGAAAAACATATTTTGGAAGCAGTCTGCGTAGATTAGGTTGTGACCTACAAGGCATGGGGTAGCCCGCGTTTATTGCTAGCAAAGTTCCCTTAATATACAAAACTCAGGTTCAAAGCGGCGCGCACTGGCAAATCCATCTTCTACACTCTATCTCCTCAGGCGAAACCGTGGCGGCCACCGTAAGCCGCAAGGAATGGAGTGGATGGCACTGCAGCCGACATCATCTGGTCTCTAGAAATGGAGTGGATGGTGTTGCAGCTGTTGCATTACTAACTGAAGGCTAGATTGAGCCGTGATGCTGCTGTGTCGTCCACCATTGAGTATGGTGTGGATGGTGTTACAGCTGTTGCATCATTCCCTTGAGAAATTGTGTGAAATGATGTTGCAGCTGTTGCATCACTAACTGCAGGCTAGAATAAGCCTTGATGCTGCTGTGGCGTCCACCATTGAGGATGGTGTGGATGGTGCTGCAGCTGTTTCATCATTCTCTCGAGAAATTGTGTGAAATCGTGTGGATGGTTTTGCAGCTGTTGCATCACTAGATGAAGGCTAGATTGAGCTGTGATGCTGCTATCGCGACCATCAGTGATTTCATTGAGGATGGAGTGGATGGTGTTGCAACTGTTGCATCATTCCCTCGAGAAATTGTGTGAAATGGGGTGGATGGTGTTGCAGCGTTGCGTCACTGTAACTGCAGGCAGAATAAGCCTTGATGCTGCTGTGGCGTCCACCATTGAGGATGGTGTGGATGGTGTTGCAGCTGTTTCATCATTGAAATTGTGTGAAATGGAGTGGATGGTGTTGCAATTGTTGCATCACTAATTGCAGGCTAGATCAAGCCGTGATGCTGCTATCGCGTCCATCATTGATCTCATTGAGGATGGAGTGGATGGTGTTGCAGCTGTTGCATCACTAATTGCAGGCTAGATTGAGCCGTGATGCTGCTGTGGCGTCCACCATTGAGGATGGTGTGGATGGTGCTGCAGCTGTTTCATCATTCTCTCGAGAAATTGTGTGAAATCGTGTGGATTGTGTTGCAGCTGTTGCATCATTAATTGCAGGCTAGATTGAGCCGTGATGCTGCTATCGCGTCCGTCATTGATCTCATTGAGGATGGAGTGGATGGTGTTGCAGCTGTTGCATCACTAATTGCAGGCTAGATTAAGCCGTGATGCTGCTGTGACGTCCACCATTGAGGATGGAGTGGATGGTGGTGCAGCTGTTGCATCACTAATTGCAGGCTGGATCAAGCCGTGATGCTGCTATCGCGTCCATCATTGATCTCATTGAGGATGGAGTGGATGGTGGTGCAGCTGTTGCATCACTAATTGCAGGCTAGATCAAGCCGTGATGCTGCTATCGCGTCCATCATTGATCTCATTGAGGATGGAGTGGATGGTGTTGCAGCTGTTGCATCACTAATTGCAGGCTAGATCAAGCCGTGATGCTGCTATCGCGTCCATCATTGATCTCATTGAGGATGGAGTGGATGGTGTTGCAGCTGTTGCATCACTAATTGCAGGCTAGATTAAGCCGTGATGCTGCTGTGGCGTCCACCATTGAGGATGGTGTGGATGGTGCTGCAGCTGTTTCATCATTCTCTCGAGAAATTGTGTGAAATCGTGTGGATTGTGTTGCAGCTGTTGCATCATTAATTGCAGGCTAAATTGAGCCGTGATGCTGCTATCGCGTCCGTCATTGATCTCATTGAGGATGGAGTGGATGGTGTTGCAGCTGTTGCATCACTAATTGCAGGCTAGATTAAGCCGTGATGCTGCTGTGACGTCCACCATTGAGGATGGAGTGGATGGTGGTGCAGCTGTTGCATCACTAATTGCAGGCTGGATCAAGCCGTGATGCTGCTATCGCGTCCATCATTGATCTCATTGAGGATGGAGTGGATGGTGGTGCAGCTGTTGCATCACTAATTGCAGGCTGGATCAAGCCGTGATGCTGCTATCGCGTCCATCATTGATCTCATTGAGGATGGAGTGGATGGTGTTGCAGCTGTTGCATCACTAATTGCAGACTAGATCAAGCCGTGATGCTGCTATCGCGTCCATCATTGATCTCATTGAGGATGGATGGGTGGTGGTGCAGCTGTTGCATCACTAATTGCAGGCTGGATCAAGCCGTGATGCTGCTGTGACGTCCACCATTGAGGATGGAGTGGATGGTGTTGCAACTGTTGCATCATTCCCTCGAGAAATTGTATGAAATGGTGTGGATGATGTTGCAGCTGTTGCACCATTCCCTCGAGGATTTTTGTGAAATGGAGTGGATGGTGTTGCAGCTGTTGCATCACTAATTGCAGACTAGATCAAGCCGTGATGCTGCTATCGCGTCCATCATTGATCTCATTGAGGATGGATGGGTGGTGGTGCAGCTGTTGCATCACTAATTGCAGGCTAGATCAAGCCGTGATGCTGCTATCGCGTCCATCATTGATCTCATTGAGGATGGATTGGTGATGTTGCAGCTGTTGCATCACTAATTGCAGGCTAGATTAAGCCGTGATGCTGCTGTGACGTCCACCATTGAGGATGGAGTGGATGGTGGTGCAGCTGTTGCATCACTAATTGCAGACTAGATCAAGCCGTGATGCTGCTATCGCGTCCATCATTGATCTCATTGAGGATGGATTGGTGATGTTGCAGCTGTTGCATCACTAATTGCAGGCTAGATTAAGCCGTGATGCTGCTGTGACGTCCACCATTGAGGATGGAGTGGATGGTGTTGCAACTGTTGCATCATTCCCTCGAGAAATTGTATGAAATGGTGTGGATGATGTTGCAGCTGTTGCACCATTCCCTCGAGGATTTTTGTGAAATGGAGTGGATGGTGTTGCAGCTGTTGCATCACTAACTGAAGGCTAGATTGTGCCGTGATGCTGCTATCGCGTCCATCATTGATCTCATTGAGGATGGAGTGGATGGTGTTGCAGCTGTTGCATCACTAATTGCAGGCTAGATTAAGCCGTGATGCTGCTGTGACGTCCACCATTGAGGATGGAGTGGATGGTGTTGCAACTGTTGCATCATTCCCTCGAGAAATTGTATGAAATGGTGTGGATGATGTTGCAGCTGTTGCACCATTCCCTCGAGGATTTTTGTGAAATGGAGTGGATGGTGTTGCAGCTGTTGCATCACTAACTGAAGGCTAGATTGAGCCGTGATGCTGCTATCGCGTCCATCATTGATCTCATTGAGGATGGAGTGGATGGTGTTGCAGCTGTTGCATCACTAATTGCAGGCTAGATTAAGCCGTGATGCTGCTGTGACGTCCACCATTGAGGATGGAGTGGATGGTGTTGCAACTGTTGCATCATTCCCTCGAGGAATTGTGTAAAATGGAGTGGATAGTGTTGCCCGTCGTCCCATCGTCACCTCCCCGCAGTGCCGGCTGGCAACGGGGAACAACCCCGGCAAGACGAGGGCACTGTCCCGTCAGGCGGAGCGACGCGCCGGGGACTGTACGAATCAGTCGTGTCACATGCATCGGACTATTAAAAATTTTTGTCAAGCTGCTAGGGCGTCCCCCGGAGGCGACGCGCGTCATTGCCCGCATGGCGCGAATAGTGAGCTAGGGCTACCTGCCCCCGGACGAGGCAGGCCAAAGAAGCGAGTCCAGGAAATCCGACTAGCGACGATTAATATAGGAACGCTGACGAACCGCAGTCCGGAGCTATGCGATAGGCTGAAGGAGCGACACGTCGACATCGCATGTGTACAGGAAACGAAATGGAAAGGGAGGCAGGCTAAGGACATCGGCGACGGATATCGCTTATACTACAAGGGAGATAGCAGCCGCCAGAACGGAGTCGCGATCATCGTCAGCGGTAGATACCGCGAATTAGTGACCGAAGTGACGCGCATTTCAAATAGATTGATGGCGATGAAGATCGAAGCAGATGATGCCACGCTTCGAATAGTCTCGTGTTATGCCCCGCAATCCGCATGTACCGAAGCCGAGAAGGACGTGTTTTGGAGGGACTTCCATCCTGCTAAGGACATTTGACGCTGCAGACTACATCTTCGTAGGAGGCGATCTCAATGGGCACGTTGGCCACGAACACTATGGATTCAAGCGATACCATGGTGGAAACGGATACGGTCAGAGGAATGAAGATGGAGAACGCATCCTGGAAGCAGCAGAAGCAAACGACTTGGCGATAGCGAATACATTTTTCAAGAAGCGGGAGTCACATTTAATCACGTACGCGAGTGGAGACCGCTCAACTCAGAATCGACTACTGGATGCTGCGTCGATGCCACTTGCCGATGGTGATGAACGCGAAGGTTATACCCACGGCGACACATGCATTTGCGCCACAACACCGGTTGCTCGTATTGGGTCTTCGACTGAACGTCCACTTACGTTCACGAGCCAGAAGGACGACCACAAAGAGGATCAAATGGTGGAAGCTTCCCGAACATCGCCAGCAAGTCAGAGATGCTCTCAACGATTTGAGGGTGTCGACGGATGATAAGGAGTCGATTGAAGAGCAATGGAATCGGATTACTTCGCAGATACGATCGAGGGCCGAGACAATCTTGGGAACCACCAAGCCAGGACCCCGGTTTGTAGACAAGCAGATCTGGTGGTGGTCTGAGTCAGTCCAGCAAGTGATCAAGGAGAAGAAAGAAGCTTTCAAAGCCTGGCAACGCTCACACTCAAATGAGGACCTCCGTCGATATCGAGAACAGAACTCGAAGGCGAAGCACGCGGTAGCCGAAGCAAAGGAAGCACACTACAAGAGACTTTACGACGAGCTGGAAGGACCTGCTAGAGCTAACAAGGTCTACCGACTGGCCGCTGCACGACATCGAGCGAAGCAGGACATCGACCACGTCATGCACATTAAGGACGCAGAGGGCAACCTGCTGACGAAGCCGAGGGCAATACTCAAGCGGTGGAGTGAATACTACAAAGGGCTATTTGATGAGGAGTTCCCGCACCCGTTAGTACCGCAAGGAGCCCCCACATTTGGACCGGTATCTCGGATCAAAGAGGCAGAAGTTGTGCAGGCACTGAGGAGGATGTCTAGCGGAAAAGCTCCGGGACCCGACGATGTACCTGCTGAAGTGTGGAAGATGATGGGGCAGCATGGAGCGGCATATCTCACATCGCTCTTTAACCGCGTTATCGTAGACGTTATCGTAGTTGCCGCGAATCTGGACTACGAGTGTTACAGTCCCTATCTGGAAGGAAAAGGGGACGTCAGCGACTGTTCAACATATCGACCTATACGCTTGCTATGCCACACGATGAAGATCTTCGAACGAGTTATCAACGCACGCATTCGAAGTATAGTGGAGGTCACCCCGAATCAATGCGGCTTTGTAAAAGGATCTGGCACCATCAACGCCATCCACGCGGTACGATTGCTAATGGGAAGGCATTTGGAGAAACGGATTCCGATTCATTTCGCATTCCTGGATTTAGAAAAGGCATTTGATCGGATACCACACGGGCTGATCTGGTATGCGCTGAGACAACACGACGTCCCAGAAGAGTACGTTCGCTGGATCAAACTCCTCTATACGAACACGACGGGCGCCATACGCTGTGCAGTGGGAACGTCAACGCCATTCCCAATCCAAGTCGGAGTACACCAAGGATCGGCTCTATCACCGCTTCTCTTCATACTGTGCATGGACACGGTGACCAAGGACATCCAGCTGCCGCATCCGTGGACGCTCCTTTACGCAGACGACGTCGAGCTAGCAAGCGGATCGAGACAAGAGCTTGAAGAGGCGACTGTGAGATGGAAGACACGATTAGCGGAATATGGCCCACGACTGAACGTAGCAAAGACCGAGTACCTGGAATGCGGAGGGCAAACCGATGGCACAATTAGCATCGATGGGCAGCCGCTGAAGAAGGTCACGATATTCAAATACCTGGGCTCCCGAGTGACGTCGGATTGCGACACGATCACTGATGCTCGTGCTAGGACGAACGCGGCGTGGCTAAAATGGCGGCAAGTAACAGGAGTACTCTGCGACCGACGAATTCCGTTGTATCTCAAGTCGAAAGTGTATCGGACTGTGGTGAGGCCAGTCGCACTGTATGGAGCCGAATGCCAGCAACCAGAAAACACGAGCAGATCCTGAGCACGATGGAGACGCGAATGATAAGATGGATACTTGGCCTAACGAGAAGAAACTGCGTCACGAACGATGATGTACGACACATTTTCGGAGTTACACCTATCGCGGATAAGATGCGAGGTGCCAGATTACGATGGTATGGTCACGTTTTACGAAGTGAAGGTAATACAATAGCAAAAACAGCACTTCGTCTAGATCCACAGGGGAAGAGACCACGTGGCCGTCCGAAGCAACGCTGGTTGGACACCATTCGAAACGACCTGCACATTGCAAAGCTCAAACCACAAGAAGCAGCTGATGGAGTCAAATGGAAGCAAGAATGCACCACCGCCGACCCTGCACCCGCGGGACAATGGCGAAGATAAAGAAGAAGAAGGAGGAGTGGATAGTGTTGCAGCTGTTGCATCACTAACTGCAGGCTAGAATAAGCCTTGATGCTGCTGTGAAGTCCACCATTGAGGATGAAGTGGATGGGGTTGCAGCTGTTTCATCATTCTCTCAAGAAATTGTGTGAAATCGTGTGGATGGTTTTGCAGCTGTTGTATCACTAGCTAGAATAAGCCGTGATGCTGCTGTTTCGTCCACCATTGAGTGTGGTGTGGATGGTGTTACAGCTGTTGCATCATTCCCTTGAGAAATTGTGTGAAATGGTGTTGCAGCTGTTGCATCATTCCCTCGAGAAATTGTGTGAAATCGTGTGGATGGTTTTGCAGCTGTTGTATCACTAGCTAGAATAAGCCGTGATGCTGCTGTTTCGTCCACCATTGAGTGTGGTGTGGATGGTGTTACAGCTGTTGCATCATTCCCTTGAGAAATTGTGTGAAATGGTGTTGCAGCTGTTGCATCATTCCCTCGAGAAATTGCGTGAAATGGAGTGGATGGTTTTGCAGCTGTTGCATCACTAATTGCAGACTAGATCAAGCCGTGATGCTGCTATCGCGTCCGTCATTGATCTCATTAAGGATGGAGTGGATGGTGTTGCAGTTGTTGCATCACTAATTGCAGGCTAGATTGAGCCGTGATGCTGCTATCGCGTCCGTCATTGATCTCATTGAGGATGGAGTGGATGGTGTTGCAGCTGTTGCATCACTCCCTCGAGAAATTTTGTGAAATGGTGTGGATGGTGTTGCAGCTGTTGCATCATTCCCTCGAGAAATTGTGTGCAATGGAGTGGATGGTGTTGCAGCTGTTGCATCATTCCCTCGAGAAATTTTGTGAAATGATGTGGATGGCGTTGCGCTGTTGCATCATTCCCATAAGAAATTTTGTGAAATGGAGTGGATGGCGTTGCAGCTGTTGCATCACTAATTGCAGGCTAGATTAAGCTGTGATGCTGCTATGATGTCCACCATTGAGGATGGAGTGGATGGTGTTGCAGCTGTGAATCTAGGAAGTACAGGGGCTTTCAATCTGAGTGTCACGGTCGACGTTGTTCACCCCCTCGAGAGCCGCGTCGCATGGGTCTCTCACGTGGAACAATGCCGCATCTGCTGAGGCCTTCGCGTTATCGGGTGCGGTAGTGTACCACGTGAGAGACCCGAGCGACGCGCCTCTCAAGGGGGTGAGCCACGTCGGCCGCGACACTCAGATTGAAAACCCCTGTACTTCATTATAAGTGTATCAATAAGTTCAGTAACTTCAATCTTTTCAGCCTGCTTTTCAGAATGGTCCATATACGTCCTGTCTCTAGAATACCATTCCGTGAGCTGGCTTCGACTTAGAATCACAGTGTTTTCACGCTGCCGATTTCACTACATTCTCATTACTGATGTGCCAAACATTCTGCATGATGATGCTTTCTCAATAGTAATTGAAAAAATGTTTGTTACGTTATACCATATAGCTTGCAAAAGATGCACCGTATGCAATACGTGTGCGAATCTTTTCGCCGAGGAAGCGGCTAAGAGCAAATTCGTCTTCTGCCCATACTCCCTGTAGTAGTAGTCTCATGCGCAGCTGCCATTGGGGTCGAAACAGTGTATGAAAATCAGCGCAGAAAACAGAGCAAAAAAGTTTATGCCATCGTTGTTACCATAAAAACGTTGCAGGTTATGGTCACAGTACTCCACTGACGACAGGTGGAAAATTGTTCTGTATGTTCTATGCCCTTGCAGGAATCCCACTTGGACTTGTTATGTTCCAGAGTATTGGTGTGTCTGAGCTCCTCTTAGAATATGTTTTGTGTCATCCATATCAAAGCAATATCACGTTTTAGGTGAACGTATGAATACGTTTGCAGCTGGAGTATTACGGTTTGCCAGAAAGGTGAGGTTTTTTCGATAGCTGAACAGTTTGTTTGATTTACATATCATTGCGACGACAACATTTCTTGTGATTATAAGAATTTTATACCAAGGTCTTGATATAGCGGTCCTATCAAAGTTTTTTCAGGCTTCCGGAAGAGCGCCAGTGGTTAACCATATAGACTTAATTTTTGTGGCCTTCGGACTGGGCACTTTTCTAATGGCTTTCGGAGCGTTAGCATTTTCGAAATACGAAAACTGGACGTACTTCGACTCTCTTTATTATTGCTTCACCACATTGACCACTATAGGTTTGTCAAAATTCTCGAACTACCTTCTTTACTCATGTGCATTGCTTGAGGATTCGGCGACTTTGTGGCACTTCAAAAAGGAGGAGCACTCCAGAATCGTCCCGACTATGTCGTTTTCTCCTTAGTCTTCATATTGTTCGGTTTAACGGTGATTTCCGCAGCGATGAATCTTCTCGTGTTGCGGTTCTTGACTATGAACACTGAAGATGAACGAAGGGATGAGCAGTAAGTGTCATTCTAACTCGCAACAAATTTGATATCACGAATATGGATCCCACGCTTGTCCAGTCCTCAGTACTCATTTTTAGACAAGCAAAGTTGGCAGCTCGTGGCCTTGTACGAGTTGGTGGTAGGCGAAGAGACTCCGACGACGATGTGACTAGTCCAGTCGGTCTACCACTTAGTGATAATGTATCTGTGAGTGCGCAACATCTCTTCCAGAGCAAGGATCAATTTCTATAAACTTATCTTCCAACCTTGAAGCGTATCCGCGCATTTACTTTTAGGTGTGCTCATGTTCCTGTTATCGAGTTCCCTACCTAGAAGAAGAAGTTCGGCAACGGCAGAACCGAACTTCCGCTGTAAATACAACAGGCGAAGACGCAAACGTGCGGCATACCCACTATGCTACCACGAGCATGTAGTTTACACTTCGATTCAGAAGAAGTTTTCTCGCTTCGCTCTCATCTCTTCCTCATTCCACGTTGTCGTACATATTGTTCTGCAGTTTATAGAGATGTTTATGTTATTACCCTTCTTGATGTTCAACTCCAGGAATGCTCTTATGTTTTGTTCACTGTTGACTGTGGTTGAAATGATGAATACGTGCCACTCAAAGTGCAATGCAGTTTGAACAAGATGCTTAACAGATGTATAATTCGCGTACCCTGTTGCCGAGCGGGTCCAGATTTGAAGGGAATTCATTAATGAAAAGGGAATCCTCTGACTCCACCCATATACTATCTGCATCAAACATTCACATGTACATATGCCGTGTTTTTTGTGGCTGGAAATTGGAAAATTAAAATATGCGAAAATACGAGAACGCTGCCTTTGCGTCCTTGTAATCTAATAATTTTCAAAAACTAGCGCTCAAAAGATGTTAATTCAATGTTATACTTCCAATGGTTTGCAGTTTAGAATACTTACGTCGTTAAAGTCCGGCATTGTTTTTGCTAAAGCTGGCCGATTTTCATTATCTCAACTTCCAGCCATGAAAAAATACACCAAATATACACGTGAATAACAGATGCGGCAAGTAATTTTCTCGAACAAGTTGACGTTTTGTAGGTTTTTATAGAACGTTTTTATATCCTCTGCCGCGGCAGGACGATGAACGTGCATCAATTTTTGCATCAACCTAATATTAGGTCGTCCCGAAAGTTCTTGCGCACGATTTTCAAAAATTCATAATTCTTCAAATTTTCAACGGATTTGTAAGAACAAAATTTTGTGTAAGAGAGGAACTCATGCTCTTTGCATCTGTGCTTGAACTTTTCGTTAATGTTTACAAATGAAGGAGAAAGAAGCTCAAAACCAAAATCACTCAAAAATTGAATTTTTCGTGCAGGGTCATAAAAAATCGGATACTTGCAGCAAAAATCGGAGCAGTCAGTATTGTAGGTTCTTTCACCAGCTCTTTCTAACAGTGCAAAGTTTGCGCCGATTGAGCGTCTCTGTGAAAAGTTATGAATTCCCTGAAAAATGCCAAAATAAATCAAAGTCGCCCTTTTGTATTGCATGCTCGAAAATCATAACTTTTCATAGAGACGTTCACTCGGCGCAAACTTTGCACTGTTAGAAAGAGCTTGTGAAAGAACCTACAATACTGACTGCTCCGATTTTTGCTGCAAGTATCCGATTTTTTATGACCCTACACGAAAAATTCAAATTTTGAGTGATTTTGGTTTTGAGCTTCTTTCTCCTTCATTTGTAAACATTAACGAATCAAGCACAGATGCAAAGAGCATGAGTTCCTCTCTTACACAAAATTTTGTTCTTACAAATCCGTTGAAAATTTGAAGAATTATGAATTTTTGAAAATCGTGCGCAAGAACTTTCGGGACGACCTAATAGTTTGAAGCAACTGCACATAGAGTAATGTAAGCAAAATTAACAACAGATTGACAGTGCTACTTTATTTTTTATCAATGAGGATCAGACTCAGACTACACTAGAGACTATTTCATCGATGAGGCTCTATCATTCGGTGAACTGAGCAAATTGTGCGCGATAACCCCAAACAATCACATAAATTCTGATCCACGTAACGTCGGAAGTCAAGTTCCAAATTAGTGACTTTCATTAAAAACCAGAAAATGTTCTGAGGAACTCTACGCACCTCTACGCAAATTTCAAATTCGTCAGACATTCTTGGAGCATGTTTTGGCCAGAAAAGCTTTCCTATAGCGCCTCCTAAGTTCCTGTCATATATGCAACCATACACTTACATTCTAGAATATTCATATTTACACTCTTAGTAATGCTCTTTCTCCCGAGATAAATCTAATTTAGAGGACAAATTATGGAAGCAACTGTTTACTGTTTGAGCTCATGTAAACCACTAGGGGTTGATCAAGAAGTTGTAGTAGTTTGTTGTAGTAGAAGTTGTTTGTGTAGTAGTTTGCTTTTCAAATGGTCACCATAGTTTGCTAACTATGGTGACCATTTGAAAAAACCGAGCTTCTGTACCCAATTTTCTCCAGAAGTCTGGCTTTTTTCTCAAAGACTTTCACACTACGACCGTCCCAGTCATCATTTTTGATTTTTTTACTTAAAAGTCCTAGTCACTTTTTGCAATCCAGAGGTGTTTCTTCAAACTCAAATCTAATTGTCGCCATTCTATCAGCCAGATAATGTATGTACCTCTCTCTCTTTTCAATAAGGTGAGGGAGGGAGAAATGGAGGGAGGGAGAAATGTCAAACAGAAATCCCGGACTTCAAGCACATAGTGATGATGAAAATAAAGTACGAACTCCCAAAGTGCAGCTCATGAAAGCTTTTAAGCATCAAGCATCACTTAAAATCAAACGAGCTTTCCGAAACAACTCATTTTAAGAATCTCCAGCCATTTGGGCCGCGATCGCTTTGTGCAAATGCTTATTTGATTTGATCCGCTAGAGAAATAGGAGTGTTTTCAATTTCCCTAGGTGCATTTATCAAGAAGCAGAATAACGAGTACATGAGTAAGACATTTTTGGTCTAGTTTTTTTTTCAGATTTGAATCTCCCGGAAGCGGTGGGCTTGTGCCCTCACAATGACAAAGCTTTAATCAGCACTCTGTCCGCACTTCGTTCGTGCTTCGTCAACCAGTCACCCACTCAGCAGTCTTGAACGACGAAAAGCCTCATCTGGCTGTTGTCCGTCGTCGTCGTCCGTCTACACTATCGATTCTGCGGCTCGGCAGCGGCTCGGGCGACGAGTCGCCCTCGTTGCTGCTTAATTACAAGAGCCCTGCAGCCAGTACATCCGCGACAAGTGCTCACAGTGACTTTTGGAGGTTTCCATCACTTCACGGCTTTGTTCCCGTTTTTCTGCGCTCGACTTCACGCCTGAGTTACGTCCGGCTTAGGCGTTATTAATATTAACGTTTTTAGCCCACGCATAGCACTTAGCGAGGAAATCATGAGTAATGGAGTGTGAAGGACATACAATCAAGATTCAAAAACCTATCTATCTTATCTATCAATTAGGCGCGCATGCACTTCGGCTATGGTTTTTGATTTGAATAGTTTTGAATAAGACGCTTCTGCTGCTTACTCATCTATATCCCCCCTTTAGTTCGGTCATCTTTGCCCTCTTCGACAAAGCTTACTTCTCCCTTCTCTCTTTAATGGTTCGAAATCGTACATTTTAGGCATGGCCTCGACTGGGGAACCGGAGCCAGATTCGTTGTATGCGCATGAGACCAGAGAACAAGAGAACATACCATGGTGGCAAAGGTTTGTAGAAGTTTTAAGACCTGCTTCGAATTTCCAAAAATCAAAATTTATGAATGATGATTTTTTTTAGAACACATAACTATTACTGGAAACCGCAAAGAGCTGCTTACTTATTGCAGCTTATCTTTTTTGGATTATTACCTGTTCTACTGACATGTTACTTATGTATTTAAAAAAATACTATCTCTTCGCACATACATGCAATCAGATAAATGCAGTTTTTTCAAAGCAATTTTACGCGAGCATGTGTCCTGACTTCTTTTTTCAATCAAAGAGCTTTAGCATAGCCATCTGCAAGAATCCTCTATAATTCACTTTTTTACTTTTTTAATCGAGTATTTTTCTTCACTTTCGCAGAAATCTGCTCCACTCTGAGTTCTTCTCTAGTAGTCTCAAAATGAGCAAATTTGTTAAAATTTCTAATATGCTTATGAAAAACACATTCTGCAATTTCGCATGGCTTTTCCACTCAAGTATTCGTTTTTGACCAAGCTATTTGGTGCCCGTCAACACATATTATCGAGTGCTTCTATCCTCAACAATGAAAAACTGAACGAATTCTATTTCATTTGATAGCTATGCAGCTAGTATAAGGCGTTTAGTGGAGGTTATGAGGAAAATAAACAGCTCAGTAAATGTTTACTTTTGACTCAATTTTACTGGAATTTCGACGCCTAATGGCATATGGCCAGGAGCTGCTGTATAAAAGAGTGATTTTAATTATAAGTCATAGGATTCTCCCTTATAACAGCCTCACCCAGAGCCGCCCCGGTACCCCAAATTTTGTGAGTTCCAGAAACTTCCTTCTCAACCAACCCGTTCTATTCGGAACATGGGATGGCGTATTTACAACGGTGATGGTCAACATTTTCGGAATAATCGTGTTCCTACGAATGGGCTGGATTGTGGTGAGTAGTGGAGCTCGTGCTAATGTCTCGTCTGCACGCTCAGATTTCATTTACGCCATCCGGCAAGCCTCTCGTTGTTGAATAAGAGAAATGCTCGTGCTCATTATGCATATCGGTATGGCAAAGGGATGCGTGGAGTGACGGACAAGCTCCGGGTCAAACCTAGTCGATGTCAATTCGCAGTTTTATTAGGGCAATTTGTGTGGCTATGCACTTCAAGATGCTATAAATGCTCAGAGACTGCATACGGAATGAGCTATATAGCTTTAGTACGTAATATAGAATATCTCCACGAATTTTTTGTGAGGATCCCATGCAATTTGCTAATCCGCAGAACTCAAGAAATAAGTATGAGAAGGAGGGCATTATGGGGAAAACATGCTTCGATACAGGATAATGATTATCCCTGCAACAACTGCCTCAAAAACCGCGAGTGTTACTTTTTATCCCTTCGTACGAGATATTTATGTGATTTTCAAAAAACATACATAGAAGAAAGGCAAACTGTTAACCTAATAAAAGAATTTCTTGAGATAATGTCGTTCATTCTTTTCTATAATCAAAATGAATAAGATAGTTTGGCAGAAATGGATATAATTTGGTGCGAAAAGCTGCTCAAAGCATGCAGACTACAAAAAGTCAAATTTTTTCGATTTTTTCAGTGAAATAATGATATATTAGAAAGTAGTAGCATAAAATGTTTTATCTTTCTATAATTAGAAAGAACTTTATTGTGGAAAATCACAATTTTTAGCAAGACATTGCCAACTAACAATTTCTATTGAATATTCCCGTTTTTATTTATGTTCACTTTCCTTGCGAAAGTCAGTCTTCGCCGCAATATTTACTTGTGAGATACTATGAGTGGATATAAGACTTAATTACAGGCTGATGTCAATTTCGCTCATCAAGAATGTTGACAATATCTCTATAAATTTCATCAAATACAGCATTTTTCGATTACCCATCTCACAAGACATATATTCTCTGACGGAAAAATGTTCAACGTTGAAAGTCAGCTCACTTCCTCGAGCGGGTATGAAGTTTGTTTACAAGCACTGGGCTGCCGGAATTCAGCTTCACGAAAACAAAACTTCTTCGTGTATAATTCAAGTTGCAAACAAGTCAGCCATAGTACCCAGCTATACTATTGGAAGCAAAAACATACTTCCGAATTAACACGAAGAAATTGAAACTATGATCTATTGATTGATTATTCCAAGTTCTTCAATTTAAAAGAGTTTTACGTCTTATAATATTGTCAATACACTGATAATATTAGAAAGAAGAGCTCCGTTCATTCTAATTCTTTGAAAAAAGCAAAATCTCCTGCGCATAGATCCTTGAAAATCCGCGAGCTATGGTGCCAAATTATATTATATAATATTAATCAAGGTTTTAGCTAGACTTCATAAACATCAGTAGTTATCGAAGATGTCGTAAATAGCCTTTTTGGGGGGGAAAACATTCTCATATAACTAGATATTGGAGATTATGTCTATCTCAGCTGACTCAGCTAAACTTGATCTTTTTGCAATTTTTTTTTGTTGATTAGCGTTGGCTAAATAAAGAAAACTTTGGGCTCAGAAGCAATATAGGGTTAAAAGATTTTGCTACTTCTTTCAAAAGTAATAATAAAGAGAAAACATCATGTCAAATGTTTTTGAGCTGAAGGCTGTAAAAATTTGATCTTATTGTTAGAATGAAAGCTATTTTTGAATACTGGATGATTCGATGTTGTTTATGTTCAATTTTTTGTGTTCAAAAACGAATACTTGACTTTTTAGCATTCTTTCAAGTCGAGATCACGTTTCAGGGAACCGCCGGTGTAGCAAACGCAATTCTGCTTCTGGTTATCTGTACTGCGCTGGCGTTGATTACCGTATTTTCAGCTATCGGAATCGTCGAAAGATGTCAGATACAGGTCACTACCATCATTGATTCTTTTTTTTGATATAAATAGTCGTTCAAAAATTAGATTTCTTGTTTTATGTAATAGTGCGATTTTTGCTTGATCTAGTACAATGCAGAGAGTCGTAATCCGTGATATGAGTTTTGAATTCTTCAATCGGGACACACTAATGGTAAGTAACAAATTCCAGAGTGGCGGTATCTACTTCCTTGTCTCGCATGTGCTTGGTGGACGAGTTGGTGGAGCGGTTGGGTTGATGTACGCTCTCGGTCAGGTAAGAGGTCTTGTCCTCTTTTTCAGGTGAAGCCTATGGAATTACTGCCTACCTTTACTAGTCTAGGCAGTCGCAACCGGGTTGGTCGCAGTGGGTTTTGCCGAATCTGTAGCGCATCTATTCGACTCAGAGAGTCGAGTGCTTACTAAAGTGATTGCTATCGCGACTCTGATTGTTCTAACTGGTACGTCTCTTTCACAAATTTTTGTTTTGAAGTTGCTTAGAATCTGCTATAACTAGCGTCATTTTAGGCATCAACACAGCTGGAGTATCATGGGTGGTACGCTTACAGTTGTTACTTCTTGCATTCCTTGCCCTCGCTGTACTCGACTTCCTCTTCGGGGCGCTTTTCACCTCTGATCCAAGTAAATTTCCCCATTCCGGCATCACACTTGAATTCATTCTGGTCAGCATGTCCTATATTTTAGTGCATGGAATATCTCGCTTTTCCTATGCCCGACTACGAGAAAATGCCGACCCCATGTACTCGACCGTCAACTGTACACCCATCGGATTTGATCGTATCATCCCGGATCAGTCGTTTTTCACAGTTTTTGGTGTTTTCTTCGCCAACTTCCTGGGCATCTTGGCAGGTTTGAAACATTGTTTATGTTGTAAGTTGTATGGATTCAAGCCATGTGATTTAGGAGTGAATATGAGCGGAGACTTGAAAGATCCTCATAAAAGCATCCCTCTGGGAGAGCTGTCAGCTGTCGCAGTGAGGTGCGTTTCACAAGCTATATGAAAATGGGTAGCGGCGAGAACTGGTCCTGAAACTTCTGCGCTACTTCTCTAAGTGCTAATGAAAAATGATTATTAGAAATAATCATGGGAATATGAAAGCTACGATTACACTCAGGCTCGGTATTTTCAGTTCGAGTGTCTGTTTCTTATTCATCATGATCCTCGGAGCAACTGGTGATCGCCTGAGCCTTATCTGCGATAGTCTCATTTCCGAAAAGGTAAGACATTATGCAGTTTATTAATTTATCGCAAAAAAAATCAAGATAAATTCGTATTTTCCAGGTAGCACTGACCGGATTTCTATTCATGATTGGTCTTTACATCTGTTCGCTATCGTCCACGATTGGCGCACTTCTTGGCACTCCTCGTGTGCTCCAAGGAATCGCTGCTGAAGGGATCATACCGATCCTGAACCCATTAGCGCAAGGCGTAAGATGCCTACCTATTTCCGAAATTTTCTCATTTCTCGGTGCTATTTTTCAGTCCGGACCGAACAAAAATCCCGTTCTGGCTGGAATCGTGTTGATGGCTGTAGCATCGGTATTTGTGCTGCTTGGAGATCTTAATCAGCTTGCTATTCTATCAACAATGCCATTTTTGATTACCTATGCATTTGTGAACTATGCATACGTCTCATTGGCAATGAGCTACGATCTGCTCACCATCACTCATGCAGCGTGAGTATTCTTTTGTATTTTATTATATTATCCTATATTGATTCTTTCACGGTTTATTTCCTCCAGTTCTTACAATCACCGAAATTCTATGCATTTGCATTGATTTTGCAACGGTTATTCACCAGAATGGAAAATCACGAAGGCCTAGTTATGGTACCGGTGCTGACCAATCCAATGCACCTTCCTCTAATGAGAATGCCTGACCGCACTTGCTGGCACGCCCCTGACCACGCCCCTTTCTATCTTCGTTCCTCCAAGTATCGCTCAAACATCAGCAAATGAAAATTTTGGTGCATAGCTTCTAAAAATCGTACATATTAGGTTAGTCCGAAAGTTCGTGCGCATCATTTTCAAAAAGTCATAACTTCTTTGCCACTCGATGGATCTCGTTGAAATAATATCCATTCAAAAGAGAAATGCATGCTCTTTACAGCAGAGCTTTAGACATGAATTAATTTGAGAAACTTCGAGAGTTACAAGCAAATGAACGAAATCAGTCGAGTTTGCCATTTTTCGAGCTGGGTCACAAAAAATTCTCAAAGTATTTTTATTTGATAGAGAAAATTATGCTCATTACAATGGTACCTTTCCCATCAGTTAAAGCGAAAAAGATCGAGACTTAGGAGCAGATAAAGGGAATTTCTTCAGTTTTGCAATTTTTGAGTATGCTCAAAAAAGCCTAAAAAGGTCACAGAAAAGACGGAGAAGTCCTGAACATGGGTTTTGTAACCTTTTCTTTCTAGCTAAGCAAGTTTCGAGCTAATCGAGAGCAATTTTGTTTTTCGTGATTTTTTCGAATTTTCGGGCCTGTGTTTTTCACGAAAATCAAAATTGCTCTAGATTAGCGTGATTTCCGCTTAGCTAGAAAAAGAAGGTCACAAAACCCATGTTCATGACTTTCCCGTCTTTTCTGTGACGTTCTTAGGCCTTTTTGAGCATGCTCAATAAATTCAAAACTGAAGAAATTCTCTTAATTTGCTCCTAACTCTCGATTTTTTCGTTTTAATTAGTGGAGAAGGCACTGTAGCAAAGAGCATAATTTTCTCAATCGAACAAAAATACTTTCAGAATTTTTCGTGACCCACTCGAAAAATGGCAAACTCGATTGATTTCATTCAATTGCTTGTAACTCTCGAAGTTTCTCAAAGTAATTTATATCGAAGGCATTGCTGTAGAGAGCATGGATTCCTCTTTTGAATAAATATAATTTCAACGAAATCCATCGAGTGGCAAGGAAGTTATGACTTTTTGAAAATGATGCGCAAGAACTTTCGGACCAACCTTATAGTTTGGGCTGGATACTTCACAAGCTTCTTCGCTGGTCAAAACAGAAATCGAAATTGTGGTTTCAATAAACTCATGAGCTCTAAATTATAGGGAAGACAGTGCAAAGTACGGCTCAATGCAGAAAATTGGCGATCTCGACGAACTTTTCCCAGAACGTCAACATCAGGGTTCAGCTGCAAGCATTGAAGCCGGTGGTATCGTAGGCCAACCAGCCACTTGGTACTCAATGTTCAGCAATCGTTACATTGCTTTCGTCGGCGTAAGTATAACTTACCCTCAGAAACGTTCGTACTCGAATAATTTTACAGTTCCTGGTCAATCTGCTGATCATTCTACTTATCGATTTTTGGTTTGCCGTTGCGCATTTTGCCGTTCTCATCATTCTATACTTCTATATCGGAAGGGTTTGCCCACAATGCAGTCCAGGTGAGATTTTTAACAGCTGAATTTTTTACAAATTGAAATTTGAATGACGCAAATGGCCTTGTGCGAAGCAGTTTTTACTCGTTTTCAGCTTCCTGTCCAATTGTGCAAATGCACAAAAATTTGTAGCACTTTATCTTAACAATGGACGTTGTAGAATTTTTCTTATAAGCTTAACTGTTTTCATATCTGAAGTACATGTTGCGTAATTCCAGGAATTTCAACATTTTCAATTCCACATATGTTTCGCACTGCCTTCTCTTCTCTTGAAGCTATTGGCGTTTTCAATAGAGGACCAACTGTTCTTACAAAGGTATGTGAGCCACTACAATGTTCTCTGCAGGCCATAAATTAAATATTAGGAGGGACCATCGAAAGACGTGCTCACCGAGCAACTCAACGAATCAAATCCGGACTATCAAGATCGCAAGCAATATCATCATGCTGAAAACGTCACACAAGAATTTGACTAATCTAGCAGCGATAGCACTATCAAATAGCCAGCGACTCAGCCAATTACGTAGATTTCTATACTGATCTCTTTGACCTATCATTTGCATTTCCGGGTCTGATAAATACTTCTTTTCAAAAAAAATCGAATATAAAAACAGGCAATGTGAGTGAAGCTACTTCTGTGGAGTAAGATAGTGAACAACATGTACCGACTTAGATTCTTCTCGTTGAAAACCTCAAGATTTATGTCGTCCGTAGTCTCTACCTCCCCCCCCCCCCCCAAAAGAACTCGATCAAAGTCCTCACAAAATTTAATCGCGTTTAGTCGAAAAATGTATTATCCCCATGGGTTTTGAGGAATTAATGCACGTGGACGAGACGTAGGAGTCGGTATTCGCATAGGAGGCGGAGTGCTTCGAGTAGGCCAAGGTCGCGGGACTCTTCGTGGAGGAGGTGGGAAACGTTTCACTCGGGAGCTGGAAAAGAGAATGAAAGAGAATGGGAAAAAGGTCGAATGAAAAAATGTTGAAACTACTGTTTTTACGAAGTGAACTTACTTCTTATCAGTTTTACCCGTCTGTCCGTCAGTGAGAGGCACCGCTGCCGTGGCGATCACTAGGACCAGCAGTGCGAATAGGTGGAGAAATTTCATTCTGCAATATACGGATCTGATATTATTAGGTTGCTCCAAAAGAAAGCCGCTTCCAAGTATGAGCTGTTCCTGTTTTCTTAGCAGACTTAGGGTACCATTCGATAGAGCGAAGCTCCATCTAAGTCGTGATTCAGGTAAAATTTGGAGTCAAAAATCAAAAATTCTCAATCACCCAAAAAATCTCTCCTTCCAGAAAAATCCTGCGGACTTCCAACTTGGTCTTTATATAGAAAACACATAGTAGTTCTCCAAAATGTATCTGGTGGAGTTCTTCTGGGGCTCAAAATTGAGAGAAACAAGGATGGTCCGATAATGCCAAAACGCCACTTTTTTCAGGTTTTTCATGTAAAACTTGATATTTCTCGATAACAAGAGCACATACAGATGTAAAGTTTCAAGATTATACTTACAAGGGAAGTCACGTAACTTAGGTCGACCTTTTGAAATGAGACACATACTTTTAGAATCAGCTCGGAACGCTTATTCCAAATATGCTGTCCTTAGCTGCGAAGCATTTCTCTGAAGCGAGTTATGAGCTTTTTAACATGTGTTATTGACATACAACTAAATATGGAAAAAAGGCCTGTAGACGGAATCTGCTCCAAAATGATGGAAAATCGAAATAACATCAAAATGAGCCTTTTAGCCTTGATAGAATGTACTAGGCATTTGAACCACTACCTAGATGACAAATCGTGGCGTCTGTAAGGCAGTCAACACGCAAGCTTTGCTCAGGAAAAAGCTCATAACTCGCTTCAGAGAAACGCTTCGCAGCTAAGGACAGCATATTTGGAATCAGCGTTTCGAGCTGATTCTAAACATATGTGTCTCATTTCAAAAGGCCGATCTAAGTTAAGTGACTTCCCTTGTTAGTAAGGCTTGCAGTACAGGGTGTCCCAAAAAATTGTGCACACTGTTTGATGTTAATAACTCGCTTCTTTTAATGTGTTTCGCCGATCTGTAGGTACCATTTTGTAGAGCAGGCTTCAACTTGAATTTGTAGTATGGAGCAATTCAACGATCTCTCTTCACTACTGTAGATTTACGGTAGGAACTGTGAAGAGGGTTTTAAGCTATAAGAGTCGCATTTCGCGCCGAAAAGAGAACCAAAAAAGCCAGAAACTTTAATACTAGGCTAATTAGAGTTGCTAATTACGGTTATGCAATTTGCATACCAGGATCATGCTTCCTTCTTATGTTGTTGCAGGAAAACAGTAACAACTGCTTTTCCAATGTTCTTAAAAATGTGATTACAGCTCTGGAAAGGCTCAGAACTCTTGCAGAAAGTTGCATAATGAAATCAGCATGCTTAAAAACCCTGCTACACAAACCTACTTGTATGACAAGTTGTATGATATGTGGGAGGGGGGAGGCGGAGTTTGCCATTTTTGGACTACCTTTTTTTCTCGTTCACTATGCTTTGAAAAAATCCATCAAAGACATGTTGAAGTACTACTATGGGCACATATGCTACTGTACAATGACCATTTTGGCGGTCCGTGGGATTTTTCAAGCAAAATTTCAATTTTCACGTGACAGATTTTTTCTGGATTTTGGCTTCAAGCTTTACATGGAATGCGACTTAGGCGGATCCTTGGTGGTCATTTTGTAGAGGTTGGTCTGCTCTATCGAACAGTACCAAGTCTACAAGGAAAACAAAAGAGCTTGGATTATTTGTAAAAGGAGTTTCCTTTGGAACAACCTAATATTTCGAACTGAAGAATTCCACAAAGAAAGCCACTGAGAGTATATGCCAATAAAAAAATTGTAGACAGCAGTGTTGTTTTACATTGACCGTTTATATAGTGGCAGCAATGTTGTTAGTGCACAATGACAAATGAGTGCTCCTTGCGCAGACTATTAAGACCATGCCTGTTTTGCGTTGCTATCTTGATCGTATGGGCAGGTAGCTCCGTTCCTCAGACAATTTACCGGAACTTCGGCAGGACAGGCAAAATCTGCAGGGTTCCGCAGGATTTTGTTTGCTATTGTGAAAGTGGGAACGTTGAAACGGGAACTTCCGCAGAACTTTTTACAAAGCTCTGCGGAACTTCAGAAAATGCCAGCGGTTCTGCAGCTCTTTGACATGCCATTATTTCTGCAGGGTGAATGTGTTGTTTCGTATGATGTTGCTTCGCCAACAACTAACGCCAACTAACTTCAGCAGGAGACCCGGCGAAACTTTCCCAAACGTTCCGAGGATGATCCGGCCAGTTGCCTGAGTCGATCAAACAATTTTGTACGAACACCATCCCTCTAAAGATGCTTATTGAAAACTTCTTCTCCCATTCATATTCAAAAAAAGGAAAAATCAGCAGATACTGTCTTACATTAGCATTCTCTTAATGTCCTATTATTTTAAGACTGCGCATTGCTGGTGGTCAATTGCAGCAATCGATTCAGTAATTGGGAAAATTTTGCGAGACTTCACAATTTGATATCTTTATAGAGTATCACTTTTCTATGGCGAGTAGCTACAGAGTTTTGACAAGTAACCGACAATTAACCATCAAATAACCACAAATACGATGAACGAACAAATTCGTAAAAATATTTTAACAAAATTGCGCGGTGCTTGCCAACTCTCTACCATGCTCTCCAGCTATTTTACTCAGCTTCAACTTAATAGAGGGGTAATTTCAGAATAACAACTGCCCTAACAATTTCTCCTATGATTCTTGAGAGTGAAGGTCATTTCTCACTTTTCAAGAATTATTCTTTTGGGCACTCAAATTAACAATTTCTCAGAAAAGTTTCTGAGTCGTAGCTCTCCAATAAGTGCTAGAACTTATACTTCTCTTTGTATCTTTTGAATTTGAAAAAAAAACAGCGCGCACGCTTCGCAAACTTCTAGCGAAGCGTGCGCGCGGCTCCATGTCAAGCTTTTGGCCTCTTCGGTTGGAACAGTGTGTAATAAGTGATCATTTGTGATATACTGAAGGAGGTGTGCTAGTTTTCATTTCTGCAATGATACAGCTGCATCTACTGAATAGACAGCAGTTCCAAAAGGCGCGAGTTTTGTTTAGAGAGCCGAGTTGTCACCGTCTGTTCTTATCCTTCGCTATAAGACATCATTTATTCTTCTTATATGTGTGGAATCTATTTGAATGAGAAAATTCTGCATTCACAGTGCAATCATTTAAGAAAATCACGGGAAGGTTCTCAATGAGTCTCTCCTTATCCTCCACGATGGGGTGGTCGTGGTTTCGGAGTAGGTGGTCCACGACGATGTGATAAGCGTGGAGGTGGTGGGGGAGAACGACGTGGCGGAAGCGGTGACCTTTTGCTTGGAGAAGGATTGTGCTTGTTCGAGGACGTGCTAAAATTGTAATTTCTTTTTTGTAGAGGTGAAAGACAGTAAAGAAAAGACAGTAAAGAAAAGACATAAGGAATTTGAATTTGTGTTTGTATACTGCTTCCATCGTTAATGTTGAAATATCACCTGTTACAACTGCGCACCATGAAATTGAAGAAATCCAAACTGAAAATGGTAACATTACTTGGTTCTACCCATATGTTAGTTGGCTTTCATTTCGGTTTTTGACCCAGCGGTCTAACAGCTCATCGAAAGTAAACTTTTGCAAGCATCACGTGCTGAGCTACGTTCAGAGTCGCGTGCCAGCGCCGTGCTATTGCCGTGCCCGAACGTCAATGGGACAACCCCGAACGCACGTAATTCGACATTCGAAAGCATTTAGATAAAAATACAGCATCCCAAGAGTTGCGCTCGCTGTCATATAAATGATCCTGATGATAACTGGGTATAGGTCATCCATGGAATCGTGACAAAGGCGGCAGCCCACCTGACGTACGCAATTGTAGCATTTTCTTTGCTTTCTTCTCTATTCGAAGCATCGTTTTTGCACATATATGTAAACAACTGGTCAGTCGAAGTACTACGACGGCTAAAGAGTGTGATATGCTCTTGTGACGCTTGGATGGGCCCAAAGGCCGCAGTCGATTTCGTCGTCACGATTTCACAAATGTACTGCACATATGGAAGACTTTATACCTGTCGCCAACTTTGGCATGTTGTATCTTAGCAGCCAGCGCCGATTCAAAAGCCACCAGACTCATAATCAAGAATAAGACCAACAGTCTCATGTTTACTGAAAATATGTGATTTGACACCAAGTTGTTTTCAGTGGTGAACGACATGAGCTTGAAAAGGTTGCAAGACAAATAAGTTAGGATCAAGAGAAAGACATACATGTGAATGTCTATACCTACATCGCATGTCCTTGTGATGGTGGATGCTCTATTTTGAAAACATCTATCACAGTTGGCTGCGATTACTAGGGTCATTATTACAACCATGCCACAATAGTGCAAATTAGCAAGACATCAAAATTCGCTTCGGAACTTCTTTTACAAAAGAAAACAGATAAATCAGTGACCGACTTTCTCCATACGTTGTCAGCTTTTGAACTTATTCACTTAGGCCTTGCCTGTTTCTTTTCTTCTTTTTTGGCTGACATTTGTACACTGGATACGGCAGGACTTTATTGAGAAAGGCGCTGTTTCTGACTGGAGTGCTGCCCTTATGTTGATCATCCACCGGTGGAGATTTATCGCTTCTCTTCAGTCCCCTAACAGGTTATATAGCCTATGTGCGTGAAAAGACACAAATACATAAACTTATACTGCTACCAAAAAGGAGTCCCCGAAATCACTGGATGCTTACGGAACCGATGAGCCCCTGCCGTGAAGATTATCCAACAACATGCGAACAAATTTGTGGCAGCAACCAGCTGCAAGTGATCTAGAATTAGTAGTGAAAGTTTCTGAGCTGTCAAAGGGAGCATTTCGGACTTGAATGCATAAAACTCAATATATCGTGATGAAATTTTTTCTTTGAGGGGAGAGGTTAAATTACTATCCCCGCAGCAGGCACTACTTTCCCCCAAGCAACTCTTTCTGGACCTGACCATACCCAACCTTAGCGAAGAGAAACAATTCTTCCATTCTCAGGTCTTATCTACACATAGCACTTTAACAATGTTTGCCACATGTGTTATGTAAATAAAACATAGGTAAACCAACTGTTTATCAAAACAATCGGGCAATAACAATAACAAATCTTCCAAATTAGATGTTGGACGGATACAGCAACTGAAAGAAAGAATTTACAGTGTTCAAATCAAAAAAATTTTTTTGAAAGAATGAATATAAAAACTTACCACACGGATTCGGTTTCCCATGGCGTTGGGAGGCAAATTGTGGTGGAACTTGGCGCGGACGACACCACTGTTTCCATGGGCTCGGGTAATCCTTCCCCAGATAGCTCTAGTTCGGGTCGGGATGTTATGACCAGGCTTCTGAACAACAACTTTTCACCCATCTTTGATTGAACGAAACCGGATCTTTACACGTCGAAATCCAAATATCGAAAATCCGTTAAATTCAAAATCTTCAACACCCTTACGAATATATGGAAGCGCACGCAGATGGTTGTACGCGCAGCAACGCAAAAGCTTCGAAGATAAGGGTAACTTATGGACCGACTCAATGTTTTAAAAAGCCGCCTTTTTTTCTAGAGTTGATTATAAATTACAGTATATTAAGTAAATCGGTGATGCGTGTGATAACTGAAAGTCCTGCACAAAGCGCTGACCATGATTGCGGGACGTATATAGAGTGAGCCCATTTCGCAGTGGATATAAATTCTTGAACTCTTATGAGACAACTGACAATGAGTAAATTCGCTGCCAAATAAACAAGTGGAAGTGACTTTTAACATGTAAAATCAGAACATAACCAAAAGCAAACGCACATGTCGCGAACGCTGTGAATATAAATTAGTGATATAATCATATCTATACGAGAAACCTCAGTGAAACGTACTTATGTATAACCTATTCAACAATAACAACTCCTAGATCTTTATAGTCTCCTTCACTACCTCTGTTTAGCGGACAGCAACTCGCCGCCATCAGTTCATTATTAATCTATGCTGCCAAAGTATGTTCAGAAAATGATGTACTTTCCGTGGAATATGCTAAACATGAGACCACTTCACTCCTCCACCTATTCATAGCCAGCAATACCCCTTCATTTTGATAACGCGGATGAGTCGCGTAGTGCACATCAACTGCTGAAAGCTATATCACTACCCACACTCCTAATTAAAGGCAGTGTCCAAGCAGATTTGGGGCCTTCAGTCCAACAGATTACTGAAGAGGGCTCTCAACGCAAGTCTCGCCCGATTGCGAATGCAGAATATTGATTCTGGAGCGAGAAAATCGCTTCAGAAGTCCGAACACAGCCGCCCTCCGTCCTTACCGAGGAAATGTAAAACAGCCATGGCGGCTTTCACTGGCCGCAGCGGCACGGTAAGAACGAGACCGTTTCAAAGAGCTGCTATGTTCGATTTTCTGAACCGATTTTCTCGCTTCAAAAGCAACATTTTGCAGCCACAATCGGGCTATGGATGCAGTAATTGTCGGGACTGCAGTATTCCCAAATCTCCTGGGCACCGCCTTTAAGTTTCTGCCAAAACGCCAGCTAATTTCAGGTTGCGCAAAGAAAGGGGAAGTGGTGAAAGATTTGAGCCTTTTGGAACTGAGGTGGATTTAGAAAAAAAGAAGGTGACTGGTTTATAAAAAAAAACTCAGATCATATCAAAACGAAGCAGAAAAAAAGCTAAGAACTGACGATGAGCCAAGCAAAACATGTCAACATCGTCAAACGTTGCAAAAAAAACAGAATGCCATCACCTACGAATTCGCAGTTTTTTTTAAACCTAGAAGGAGGAACTGCACTTGCTTCAGCTTAGCGAAGAGTATAATATTTAGATTAGGCTAGATAAAAACGGAACGCATAATTCAGAAGTCATTTCTGTTAGGCGGTCGGGCTGGAGGCAACAAAGGCCTGCCGCTTCTGCTTATGGAAGTACCTGAGGAGCTTCAGAGTTCCTTGCGCTTCTAATTACTTCTTCGCACCTCTAAGTATCTATATGATATGACCTATGCCCAATTATTCGTAAACTTTTCGAGTGTGGTAGATTGCGAGATACGTTTCAAGAAAGGCTTATAGAATTAGCCTAGTACAACATCGAAGGCGGTGTAAAAATCAGAACTTTAAGTAGGTATGGAAGTACACCTTGGTCTATCAAATCTTCAAACCGGAATGTTGAACATATCCAGCAAGTCTTTCTTGTCTCAATAATTCCGATTGAAAACAAAGACTTAAAAGACTGATAGCCACGTTCTTTATTGGCATTTCATTCCTTTCTATCTACGATTCTGAAGGAAACTGCTCTGAACCCGATATTCTGTAGGCTGAAACTGATTATAGCTGAGATTGAAAGGAGTTGCAAGATTTTCAGCTTTACCTAGAGTAAAAACCCTTCAAGAAGATTTTCGTTTCACTGTCTTGCTTGTAAAGTAATCAAAGGTGCGAAGAATGATTAGAGGCGCGAGAAAGTCTGGAGCTCTCCAGGCACTTCCAGAAGCAAATGCGGCTAGCCTTTGCTGCCTCCTGCCTGACGTCCTTTCTGTTAGGGCAGTATACTCTTCAAATGACATGCGCCCCATCAATAATTCTAGACAAAGGGTAACAATGTAAAAGTAAAATGAAAAAAGTAAATGAATGCACGTAAAACACGCCTAGGCAGAAGAAAAGAACAGCATATCTGCGAAAAAAATGATTTGGAAAATGAGAAGGAAACAGTAAATTGAAAAGCTTACAGTAGTTTTGTTGTGCGCTTTGTAAAGGTACACAGCTCGCTTGCCAATGTAAAACTGAGCGTCCTTCTTATTGTATACACCATCTAGCTTCAAGAGAGCGGTGTGTTCGGACTGTGTGCGGAGACCACGCTTGTATCCAGTGAATACAGCTTTAACGTAGAGCCTGGAGAGCAAGATATGAGCAAGATCAACGCATTTTCCTGACGAAAAAATAATTCTTGAAAAATGCGGACACCTAAGTTAACATAAACTATAGTCAAAACTACGTTTGAGATCGTCTCTGCTGTATGAAACTAGTTCAGATTTCAACAGTTTCAGCCCAATGCAAAAACGTAGTCGCCGTTCAAGACATGAGTTACAGTCAAAAAGTAAACTATTATTCTGTGATACTAGACTTGTGTTCAAACGCGTAGGAAAGAAAGTAAAGCAAAACAGTTTATATTTTTAAAAATGCATGACAAAAATAACATTGAATTTGAAACAAAAGGTACCTTCCAGCAGATCCAGGACCAGCTCTTCGAACGGGTTGTTCGGCCATTTTTACCTAAAAACTTAGCAAGATTTCATCTTAACAAAAAATTACAGCGCAACAAAGCCGACGAGACAAAGACAGACAACAAAGCACAACAAACAAATCCAGTCTGCTTCTGCCAGATCTGAATATGAGTTTAATTAACTTCGGTTGAAAGTATAAAAGAATGGGAAAAATTGAATGCACAGGAATAATTCACGCTACGGTAAAACGAAACGTTCAGTTCATGCACATCTAGAAAGTTGTGCAGCCGCACAAACTGCACCGTGTGGACGTTGAAATTGGCGCGAAAATTTTTTAGCAGTTGCATTAGGGACCACCCATACTATTCCAGTAGGTAACTCTTGCGAGCCCTGTGATTCCTAGAATTCTTGTGATTTCTCAAATTCCGATGTGCTGCAATACGGAGCGCTTGGGGATTTCAGTATACATTGTTTTTTCGCAATATACATAGTTACGGGACCCGCAGCAATCACAGGAATCAAAGGAATAGTATGGCTGGTCCCGTACAACATCAATCGCAAGCAAAGGACTCTGAGTGCAAACGCCTGCGAAACTGAAAACTATCAGTAAAGCATAAAATCATTGAAAACGTTGCGGTTAGACAGAAACTCCCATAGAAACAATATATGAGAAAGAAATGCACGATCCACGAAGACCTAGAAAGGACAATTAGACCGAACAAGGGACCTGCCATATGCCATACTTCCTTGTGATTCCTGCAAATCCTGCGATTCCTGTGATTACTACGGGTCCTGTAAAATGTATATTGAGAAAAAACAATGTATACTGGAACGCAAAGCGCTCTCGTAGTGCGGCACATCGAAGTCGAGGAACAAAAGAATTGCAGGAATTACAGGAGTTGCAGGAATCACCTATGAAATAGCATGGCCGGTTCCTATGAGACGCAAACAGGGAAGGCTACGCAAAATTTCAAGAATTCTAAAATTCTAGTGCGAGTTAATGTGTGCAGCAGACAAAAAAAACTATCGGCCCAATGGCGCGAAGGTAGGATCATTTTCAAAGATTAACTGAAAGGTTTCCGAGGGGTTTTTTTAGTTTTTAAAAGTCGAGATGTTCTACAGGTACAAAGCAGCTTCCTACAAAGGCTTCCTTGAGAAACCTTTTCACGCCCGGGATGATCGCTTTACCAGGATATGGCACAAGTTTGTTGCAGGGGTTCTATCTCTACGTTTCCTTGATATTTTACGAACTCCTCTTTGACCCTTACTGAAAACCTCTTTTAGCATGCTGTTCATTCAAAGTTGACATCTTTATTTCTTCTAGTAATATAGAGGGCATTGATCATAAGTATGTCCTCTCATTAGCAAGAAACATGAGTCCTTGAGCAAAGTAAAATATGCATCGTGAAAATATTTGAAGAGTTTCAACTCTGCTACCGAATAAGCTCAGCAAAAACATTGTGTTGCTAGCAACATTGGCCAGAGTTCCAATCAATCGCATATAGGCTGCCTGCAAAAATCATGTACGTAATTTGATCTGCGATTTCTCTCACTGGTCCATTAGCATGTCCTGGCCCTTTGATTACAAGGGGGCAAAAGTCAACTAATCTACTCGACTGTATCTAGTTATCGTCCATCAAAAGTTGCAGGACTTTTGATGGACGATAACTAGATACAGTCGAGTAGATTAGTTGGTAAATATAGTGCCCTTGTGGTCTCTGAAGTTGCGGTGACATTTGCGCGTGAAGATATAGTTACTCCCTAATGCCGCCATTTTGCTCGCTCGAATTCCATCGCATCAGGCGTAGCCATTCGTTCATACGAAGAAGTTTACCGAAACTTCTCGGCACCGCAAAGGGCATATATCTACCAACACATCTACTCACTGTACCACTACCTGAATAGTGACTTCGTCTGGATAATAGCTACTATCCTGACAGGCTGAACCTGCGGCGACCACCAAAAAACACGAGCTTCCAAAAGCACAAGCATGGATAAATACGAGAAAAGGTATAGAACTGAAGAGGTCGGCAAAGCAGTAGTATGCCATTGTGCAGTAGTACATCGTTCCAAGTACTGCTAGAGCAATCGACCATTCTTCAATAAGATCCCTGAATACTTTTCTTTCGGGGAGCTACGTCCACAGAGGTCACGGGTTTTTCTGCGTCAAAATATTTCTATTGGATTCTCACTTTAAGAAGCTGGAATCTCTATATCTCCAGACACATATCAGTGGCAAAGCCAGCGCGAAAAAAATACTCGCGAAAGAAGCTTACATGAACGAGTAGAAGTATATCAAATTTCCAACAGCTACAAGCATATAACCAATCGCTACATATTCATAAGAAGTTTTTGATGCTAACATATACCGAGAAAGTGCTGGAAAAATTCGTGATTGATAAATTCATTAGATCAAAACTAAAGTAGCAGTCTATAGGCTGTATCAGCCAGCATCGCTCCCGCGCCGTACGATTTCTTACCGAGCACACCGAATGCAGCGGCGGTGACGAATCGGGGCTTTGCCTGCATTGACGACGTCAACGACAAGAATGAAAGAGCCGCCAGAGGTAGACCGAACATCACCGGAGACGATGCCTAGATGTGCACTTGGGGTATATTGGATCGAAGGGTAGTACCTCACAACCTTAGTGAATCCACTAGTCTCGATGTAAACCAGGAAGCAGGTACCGCCATAGATACCCAGTACACGAGCTGGTCCATCCGCCATAAGTTACTTTTTGTGAAGAGCTGTCGAAATGAATCCAAGTGAATGAACCCCAACCGGTTCTGCTTCTCTTTATATACTGAGTCAATCACGACACGATAACAAACTATCACCCATATCTGCTTATTTGAAAGCAATATTATCCCACTCGAAAACACAGTACCATATTGGTGGTTGAACGCGGACATTGCTGGTTAAAGGCAGCGTCCAGGCAAATCTGATCAGGGGATCACATGTGGGAACTGATTTTATGAGCCTGAATAAGACACTGCTCAAATGGCAGCGTAGATGCGCATTCGCGTCCAGATGTTTGTCCTCAAGCAAGACACGATGATCATGCCGTTTAGCTGTCAGTGTATGAAAGAAACCAAAAATTCTTTTCGGAGAAAATATTGTGCATTATTGCATAGGCCCAAATCGCTTCACATAAACAGCGTATAAGTTTATTAAGCTCGATGACTCATTATAGTGCAATCGTATAAAAAATGCTACAATCAATCAAATGACAAGAGTAAGTAGCCCGCTAACAAAATGCAATATGACAACACCAGTATAGTAACTTATCACAGTATCTAGAAAGTCCTTTCGTTTGCGAAAAAAAGAAGACCTTGGGCAAAATAGAATGAAAATCTCGATATCATTTGCAAAGTGTCGGATCTTTCACCAAATAAGTTGTAAACGAACAGAGAGCTGCCTGCTGTCTGACACATTGCTCCAACTAGACGAATATATGAGGCCTTAATGAATAAAACAAATAAAATGAACAGAACAAAAAAGAAAACATCTGTACCTAACCTGGTTAGAATCGTAGTCACCAACATGTCCGTACTGACATACCGATCCGGCTCCTACGATAGTGACGCAAGAAGAAGCCAAAGCAAGAAGTAAAACTATCACCAAGGAAGGTATAGACATTACTAAGTCGGCAAAGCAGTGGTAACATAGAACTACAAGGTACACAGACACAACAATGGCTAACTGATTAGACCACAAACGAATTTGTGAGCTGAAATGATTCATTTATCCATTACTCACGATATGTCATACTTCATACCTGAATGAGTAGCAATATAAGAGATTCCCAACGGATACAAGCAAATATCCGAGCATCATCGCTGTCCATGACGACTCATCACCGGCAAGCAGGTAACGTGATAACGCTAAATTTAGAATATCTTGTTCGGATAAGGAGAAGAATGTCATTGATACATAATTTCCCGACATGAGTATTTCGCTCGACCTACTTTTCCCTGGTACCCCAAAATCTTATAGGTAAGTCCTCTTTCTTACCCAGATATCGCCCTTCAGACAAGTCCGTGCTACAGATAAGTACTTTTTTCCGTTATAACTATCCTGAAAGCTAGGCAGACAAGTCAGATTGTCGGATGAGTCTGGAAATATCTGGAGCCAGACTTGTCTGATGGGAGGTCCTATCTATGAAATATTAAGGTATACGCTTTTTAAAAAATGCTGAATCACAACTTCGAAGAACAACTGTCAATAAATACCTAACAAGGGAGCTTCACGAGTCCCAAAGGCTGACTGGTTATTACATATGGTCAGATGTGTCTCAATGAGCTGGTTCAAAATCTAGCTTCCGTATCTGCTGCGGTCCTCTAGAAGAAGTTACGAACGGTAAAGAATGTGAAGTCAACAGGATTTCAATGCATGCAAAATCAAAATCCAGCTTGGGAGTGCATTACTGGCAAGGTGCTGCGTGTGGTACTACAAGTAAAGCACCTATGAACCAGAAAACTAAGTTGTGAAGAGTTTAGGGTCACTGTTCACCATATCTGAACTTCGGACGCTAATGACTCTTCTAGAGAATCCAGCATCAGAAATAGGAGTTAGATCTGAATTAAATAGGAGTTAGATATGAATTCAATGTAACAAGACGCACTAATGATATGCACTTCTTTCCAGATCTCCACTGCTAAATTTCCCTAGTTAAGACTCAGCTGAGCCATCTAACAAAGGAATTTTAAACAAGATCAATATGCAAAAATATAGATCAAGAACTGTCTAAACATAGGTATGGTCGTGGTGTGCATCACGAATTTGAAGTATAAAACAACGTCATTTTTGTTTCAAGAGTACAGGGAAAATCAAGAGACATCGGAGATGGATATAAGCTCCTGTACAATGGTGCCACCTGCACCAGAAACGGGGTTGGTATAGCTGTCTCGGAGACTCTACGGAGCAATATACTTGACGTTGAGCGCATAAGCGATCGTCTGATGAGCATCAAGATAGATACTGGGAAACAGGTCCTACGAGTAATTAGCGCCTATGCGCCACAAGTCGGATATAAGGATGACGAAAAAGACGCGTTCTGGCAGGAGTTGGATGACCACATCAGTTTAGTTCCACTGAATGAGACACTCCTGCTAGGAGCGGACCTCAACGGACATGTGGGGAAAAAGGCGAGGAGAAGCCGGGAGATGTCACGGAGGCCACGGATACGGAACATGCAACGAAGAAGGTGAGCGCATTCTGGAATTCGCCTCAGCTCATGATCTGGTCCTGGCGAACACATACATTAAGAAGGATGATCACCTCATAACATATGCGAGTGGCGATCGGCGAACACAGATAGACTTCTGGGCTATCCGACAACGTGACCTCAAAAACGCAAAGAACTGCAAAGTCATTCCCGGTGAGAGCTGCATACCTCAGCACAGACCACTGCTTCTCGACATCAGAATCCCAATGGAGAGACACACCAGAAGAGCCACAGAGACTAGGACACGCATTAAATGGTGGAGATTAAAAGCCAACAACGCGGCAAAACAAGCATTGCTAACAACTCTACCACGCTTGCAAGATAATCCAGATCAATCTCAATCCTGGGAAAGCTTGAAAGATCGAGTCCACGAAGTGGCACGCATGATCCTGAGTAGTACAAAGCCAGGAAAAAGAAGGATCAGTCGAGAAACGTGGTGGTGGAATGATGAAGTGCAAAAACTGATAAAGGAGATTAGGAATGCATACAAGCGATGGCATAAAACGAAATCAGAGGACGATCGCCAGATGTACCAACAGGCCAAACGTGCTGCGAAGGCTTTCGTAAAGAAGGCAAAACAAGTGTACTCAAAGGAGCTCTACGATCAACTAGAGTCCCGCGAGGGAGAACGCGAAATATACCGGATAGCGAAAAGAAGAGCGGAGTCCACGAAAGATATGGAGCACTTCCTCCATATCAAAGACAAGCTTGGTAGGACTCTAAGAAAACCAGAGGACATTACCGAAAGATGGAGAACCTACTTCGAAGAGATGGCCACCACAGGCCGCACCATCAACTCCATTCCAGAAGCCAGCCCCATAGAGGGACCAGTATCAGCGGTCACGGAAAAGGAAGTATGGCTGGCTGTAAGAAGAACAAAGAATGGCAAAGCGACTGGTCCAGACGACATACCAAGCAAGTTCTGGAAATTATGTGGACAATCAGGGGCCACATGGCTAACAAGTCTCCTCAATCAAATCATAAGGAGCAAGAGTATGCCTCGCGACTGGTACACCAGCACGACCATCCCGATATAGAAGAACAAAGAGACATAGCAGACTGCGCATCCTACCGACCAATCCGATTGATGAGCCACACTCTTAAAATCTTCGAGCGAGTAATCGAAACACGCCTTTGAGATATCATAAAGTTGTCACCGAATCAGTGCGGATTCGTGAAAGGAGTAGGTACAACTGATGCAATCCACTCCGCTCGGATAGTGATGGAGAAATACAGAGAGAAGCAGAAGGAATTGCATGCAGCCTTCCTGGACCTGGAGAAAGCCTTCGATAAGGTGCCCCATGAAGTCATATGGTGGGCCTTACGGAAACTCAGGGTGCCAGAGGAGTACGTTTAGTGAATAAAGTTGATCTACCAGAACGCGTCAAGCCACGTGCAAACAGCTGCAGGGCAATCGAAAGATTTCAAAATCAAGGTTGGAGTACACCAAGGTTCAGTTCTCTCTCCCTTGCTCTTCATCACTGTGATGAACGCTATGATGGAACCGCTCAGACGTGAACCCCCTTGGACACTTCTCTACGCAGATGATGTGGTCTTGATAGCAAGTACCAGAAAGGAGCTACAAGACGAGGTGCAAAACTGGAAAAACAGGCTAGAGTTGTATGGCCTGAAGCTTAACACCAGGAAGACAGAATATATGGAAGTGGGGAAACAAACTCCAGGTACCATAAGCATCGATGGTGAAGAGCTAAAGAAGACAACGTCATACAAGCATCTAGGCAGTCGCATCTCAGCGGAGGGAAGCTTACAAGAGGAGGTCGCAGGCAGGATGAACACAGCATGGATGGAATGGAGAGCCTTAACAGGAGTTCTGTGCGACAAAAGAATGCCAGTGCAACTTAAGTCCCAACTGTACCGGACCGTTATCCCCCAGCAGTACTGTATGGCAGTGAGTGCTGGCGGTGTATGCGGAACGAGGAGCGCAAGCTCAATGTCATGGAAACAAGGATGCTACGATGGACCTTAGGAGTCACACTGAAGGATCACATCTGCAATGACACTATACGAGCGCGAATGAAAGTAGCTCCAATTGCCCAGAAAATGCAGAAAAAGAGGTTACGATGGTATGGGCATGTGAGCAGAAGGGATGAAAGTCACATCACCAAGTTGGCCCTGGCTGTGGAGGCACCAGGCAAAAGGCCCAAAGGTAGACCCAAGATGAGGTGGATGGACAGAATCAAGGCTGACCTGCGAGAACTTGGTATAGATGAAGACCTTGCCTCAGATAGGACGACATGGAGACATCTCACAAGAAAAGCAGACCCTGCGTAAGCGGGACACATGCGAGGATAAAAAAAAGGGAAAATCAAGGACATGTGCACTCGAGTTGCGCATTTGTGCTGGAATCACATGATCCGTAAGTTCCGGAACAGTTCCGAAACTTACGGATCAACCCAGCCTTTTATCTGCTTCAGTTCTGCATGACAAAAACCTATGCCAAAAAATTACGACCATATCAAGCAAAAAAAAATGAAAACTGAGAAACGAAACAAAGAACAAAAAAAACGTAAATTGGTGGGACTTACAAAATGATGCGACATCCACAAAAGCTCGTAAACTGAAGCTGTCATAATGTCAAGCCAAAAAGACACTAAGATTATTATTTTATTCTTACGAACTGAAGTAGCTGTTCTTATTCGTCTTGCCGATATTGAAATATTAGAGCTGGGCTAGGATTGTTCATATCCTGCAAAAGGGCAATTTCTGCGAAAGTGCATTGGGCACTGGGTGCGAGCAACACTTTTTCTTACTTCGAATTTATTTTAGAGATTTCTAATTTAGACAAAGAGTATAGTACCTGATGAACCGAAAAAGCAAAGAAAATGTAATCAAAAAGAGCTCAAATAAGCTTTCATCCTACCTAACACAGCAAAAGATGCCGATGTTGTAATCTTTTGTTCTGGTTGCATTGTAGTGGTTAGAGTAAGAAGACACAATGCTGCCACTGGTAAACTTAGAAGTACCGCAGGTGTACTCTGAAATAATTGTAAGTTTGTTGAAAAAAGTATATATCAAAAATAAAAGACATATATGAAGTACCTTCACAAATCCATTTGTCTCGATGTAGACAAGAAAGGTCGTGCCTCCATAAATTGCTAATAGTCGAGCTGGGCTAGGATTGTTCATATCCTGCAAAAGGGCAATTACCGCAAAAGTGCATTGGGTGCTGAATGTGAGCAACACTTTTTTACTTCGAATTCATTCGAGAAATGTCAGATCTTCTAATTCAGTTATGTAACAGGATAGAAATCGACGGATAGAAAATGCTATAAAAAAGAGGAAAAACTGAAATTTTGGCGTCGCAATGAATGCCAGTATAAATAAATCACAGAAAGATCAATGGATCACTTCTCGTGAATCACAGTAAACATCGTTAAAGAACAATTTTCGATGTCTAAAAGCCAAGCTCAAGTGTAGACACTAGCGACTGACACAATCGATGTAATCGCTCTGACACGCACCACTCGTTCTCTCTGATATGAACTTTTTCAAGATCCTTTGCTCATCCATCTTCTCAGCTTTCCGCTTTACCATGGTTTTTGCGACAGGATACTAGTCTCGTTCTAGTGCAAAGAATTCATCTGAGCGATTAAATTCTCTATTTACTCAGCTGATATGTAAACAGCTGCAAGGAAATAACCATTATACAAACAAAGAAGTGACACAACAAAACGCAAACAGCTGTTCCCTTGAGGACCGAGGGAGCTTAATGACTTCCGCTGTAAAATTTTCATATTTTTGTCGCCGTCAATCAAACGACTTCGAGCTTGAATTTGAAAAGAATTCTTTTGAAGGAATATGTTGTGGATGAATAGCCTCATTTTTTTGCTAACGCAATCATCTCTAATGTTCCACATTTATCACCAGTGATATTTCACGCTGGAATGCGCTACTACCTCACATGGATTTTTTTTCATGAGCTGAAAGAAGCTGCAAAGTCTATTTACAATTTGTTCCGGTACTGCAGCGAGCTATTGAAAGAAACATTCCAAAGGGCAAACCTATTTTGTTTGCGGAAAGCTTGCCGCACGAGCGAATATTCCATCGGAACCGCTGCAAAATCCTTTCAAAATTGCATGACAAAAAAAATCCAGCTCGCGTCATAATCATTGGTCGCTCATGCATGCATGTGTGCAAACTTTAGAGCAGCTTTGTGTTTACAGCCCGCAGTTGCGAGCCCTCCTTTGACCCGCACTGTTTCCGCCGCCCACCCGCTTTCCGAAATTGACCAAAAAAATGCGTAGGCTCTTGCTTGACAGCAAACAAACTGGATGCACATTTGCATGCTTGTTCACAGTATTTTGCTCGTCAACCTCGTTGTAATCAGTATTCTCAACCGCACATTTCTGCTTTTGATGTCGAGTCATTTGCAACCCAACATATGCGCGCTGCACACTATGTGTAGCGATTTTTCCATGTTTCTTGGTCTCTTTCAATTTGACTAATTAAGTATTATCTAGTAGTACACATTTCTACAGCTTGCTACGCTAAAAAAGGTTTTACTGAGGAGTTACTGGTTACTATTAGTGAGGTTGTCTTCGGTTGCCGCGCAAATAAGCAGATTCACATAGTATTGAGTTGCAAATGACTCGTCGATTATTGTTCTGAACCAAATTCAAATATGATTCACATGATTCAATTTTCAAATAATGATTCATATGTGAATCTGATATAACACATGAATCATTTCTTGAAAGTTGATTACGAACAAGAGAACTACAACCTCATTGTTTTGCTCGATGTAGAAGTTCTGATGACGCTTGAAAACATCTACAACTGAACAGGTCTGATGTAACCAGTGGCTGTAGCAAAACGGCTTTTCAATGACTCAACATAGTCAATCACATTCATTGAATGATATTTGTAATTTTTTGAGATACACGCATCACAGTCAGTTCATTAGTGGAAGAGTTACAAGTTGAGTATTCATTTGCAAAGACCACGTTCCTAGCTAAGTACATGCAAGAAAATCAGCAAGGGGTTAGTAATATGAGACAAAGACTATGCAGTTTTGTTCTTAACATAAAGACCCGAATGTATATTGCCGCATAAGATCAAGAATTGTGCTGAATAGTAGGCAGCTAGGCATAATTTCCCGGAAAAAGGAATTGGGAATCCTGCATCACCCAAAATCAGCACTGAATCGGAGAGGTAGAACAACGAGAACCCGAGAAATCGATAGTAGAGACCCTAAACAAGGAATATCATTGGACTAAAGTCGCAATTCATGAATCAAAATCGTTCATACCTCATCTTTATCACTCGCATCTCGATGGATGTATTGAGAAGTAGTGATGATCAAGCATAATTTTAGGATTACCGCGTAAATGGCAAAGAGGAAAACCGCAATTGGATGTTCCTTTGCAACAGGAAGAAAGATCAGTATTGCTATAACGACGCCCCAAGCTGCAGTGAAGTATACAACTGGCCAATAAATTTTTATAGGACGAGAGATGAAGAGTGACTGAAATACTTTCGTTTGATTCAATGACAGGCAATTTTAATGAATAGAATATAAATTTTCTAAGATCCTTTTATTCGAAAGACCTAACATTGGAGAGGATTCAGGGGAAGGGGTAGCCACGTCTTCCGAAAGTTCTAGGGGTAACTTCTCAGAAATCGTGCAAATTTATGACCGCGAAGGCGATCCTTGATTTTTCACAAACTCAATTTGAATATTTGAGAAATTCGAAGAACCGTCTCCAAGTGAAAATAGGTCATTTGATTTTAGGAGGCAACCAACATGAATAGCTGGTGCCAGCCATATGCGCTGTGTAGGTCAAATTTTCGAAAAATTCTACATTCATGCTAAGATGATATCTAAAAGTATGTGAAAAAAACCTCGATCCTTACTTTGCAACCCTAATTTAAATCCAGTGATGAACGCATTGGTAAAAAGAGACTATATGCGCGACATATTGACAACAGCAGGAGTACACTATGCTTATCAGCTATCGTTCACCTCATAAAATTAATTTTATAAAACAAGTATCACTCCACCCCCCCCCCCCCCTCGCGTCCCCTGAGTCTCCACGCCATGGTAAGGTCCAATAAAGATTTTAGAGAGGACGAGATGCTTGAAGATTGACTCCAAGCACCTGCGAATGGGCTGACCTACGATGTTTAATTAAGGTGCATGCATAGGTCACACGACAAATAAATGAATGTGTAGCAAAGGCGAGTATTTCTGAGAGCTAACAGGGGAAGGATACTTAAATGCCGTAGCCAATCATAATGATTTGTATACCAAAAAATGCGCTTTTGAATACTGGTTCGTAGACTGTCTTTCATATCTGCGAAACGATTATTTGAATGGAGTTATGATTTTTTTTTCATTAAAAAAATTGCGTTCCTGCGGAGGGTCAAAATCATCAATAAAAAAATTTTCTTTCCTTTCCAAATGCTGAATATGATCCAGATAGTCTAAATAAATATTACTACGTCTAAAATTTTCTTCAGTAGCATCAAACGGTAGACTAGATCAAATCTGGTGATTTTTACTATCCAAAAGTAGTCTAAATTTTCAAGGAAAAAAGTTCATAACTTTCTTCAAAAGATCGTTTCGCAGATTTCGAGCACAGATTCAGAATCTGCATTCGAAGGCGCATTTTTTGGTATACAAATCATCAGGAATGGCCGCGGCATCCAACTATCCTTCCCTTGTAAGAATGAGATATATAATGCCAAGAATTATAGACATTGAATTACATACAGAAAAATTTTTTTACCATGTAAAACAGATGTCCTATGCCGAATGCTACTGCTCCAGGTATCAGACCATGTTTACTAATACCAAGCAAGAAATCACCGATTGTACCAAAAAGCAGTCCAAGAGCACACACTGTGCGATGTTGCTGCGGTAGACCACCACCATCAAGGGCAGCGAAAAGCACCAAAAACAACATCGGAATCACCTTCCTGCAAGAAAAGCACCATGACAAACTATCAGAATTTCAGATTGTTTTTTTTTCACGATCTAGACTCCCAACCTATCCTCCACATCGCTGTTGTATCTCAACTAAAAGCGCAGTTTGCGTTCATAACTTTATTAGAGGGTGATTTATCCTAAAAACTATAGCAGCCTGACACCAATCGTCGCACAGAAAAAATCTCTATCCAGGACCATAGCGCTTTGAAACTCTGGAAAGCTCCTTTGAAAAGAGCAATTTTTAGAGTCGGAACAGCTGTCGATAAAAAAGACATGATTCACACGAACATAATTTTCGCAAGCATGGGGTTTTTGGTTATGTTAATGCCATAAGTTTTTACACTTGCGTACGCAATCGAGTCGATACTTATTTAAGGCTAAAAAACCCTACGAACACTAGCACTTCACCAGTAAATCCAAATAGATTTCCGTAAATAGCAGTATTTTCATGAAGACCAACCTACTTTATTACAAAAAAAAACCACTCACCATATTGCATACATAGTAGTGTGACATGTGGCAAATCCTTGTGTCATATTGTAGAAATTGGCAATAAGAAGAAAATACACTGCTCCAACGGCGTATAGAGATGTTGATTGCATTTCCGGCTGGAAATAACGCATAACCGGTAAAGAAAGTCCAGAAGAGTCGATAAGATGCAGCGCGAATGGTCTCTCATTGAGTAGACGAAAAATTTCCAAGGTGAATGGAACAACTTCGAATCTGCTGATGATTTTGCAATTTTATAAAAATGAAAAAAACTTCTAAATTTGAAGAGAAACCATTTGCGTGTGCACCCATCAAATCAATTCACTCAAAATAAGTAGAAGAACAGAGATAGAAACGAAAAAAATTTAATCACCAACCTATTAGAAAGACTTATGTTAAGTAGATTATTGCGGTCAGTCCAGCTGTAAGATGAGTCAGTAAGAAAGCGAGAATACAGCGTAACTCCAAGTTATGACGAGCGCCGCTACACTCTCTTAGATAAGAAGTTGGTCCAGGCTGCCAACGTTTGAGCAGTGTGGAGGCTGAAACAGACAAAAACTAGCACTCATTTTCTATGCAGCTGAGTTCAACAGCGCCCAGCCCCAAAACTTTCACATCTTGTCGGTAAAGTACCCCTCTATAGTTAAAGTAGGACTATTTCATATACAACGCACTCAGGGCACCAGTAGAAATGCAGCACTAGTTAGTAAATGAACGTCACACATTATGAATGATCTAAGGAAATCCCAGACGGGTGATAAAACTTGTTTGTAAGCAGACAAAACGTCTGGCTTAGAACTAGTTGAGCTCTGTCTGTATTTGATATGCTGGCGCAAAGCCAGGGAAAACATCGCAGCTCAAGAGCGAGAGAGCAGAATCGCTATGTGCAAAAGACTAGGCTCTGCTCGCATTGGCGAGCACGCAGGCCCCTATCGAAGCTTTCGCGGCCAAGGCCGACTACTGCTCGTAAACAAGTGACAAAGCTCACAAGAAGAGCTGTGACAATTGGACGATATACGTCACTTTTTATGATGTGAAGAGGAACATGCGCGATGGAAAGATGTGGAAAGTTCATGTAGGAGCTGCTTCGCTGTGAGGCGACGATAGAAATGCATATTGAAAGATCGAGAAGATCGAAAAGAAGGCGCATTTCAGATTTATGACTTGAGCAACTGAAAAACATCTATAAAACTGCAAAAACTCGTGAAGAGGGTGTCAAATTAAGCGGTTATATCGCAGCTCAAGGCACTGCTACTGTAGGTCAGGTCTTACCACCACTGTAACACTTCTCTTTCAAAAGCAAATCCAAATTCTGTGCAGAGAATGGCGCTCGTTAGAGGGTTTCTCTTAATTACGCTGGAACTAAAACACATCTGGCAGGAAAAGTGCTCAAACATATGCGGATTAGACTACTTTGATCCGAATCTCGGTGAACTTTCACTGAAAATTTTTACATAAAGTCCAGTCATCGATGCTATTTGGAAATCCGGAGCAGCTGCGCCTTGATCAATTTGGAAAAGGACACAAAAGCTGATTGATTTCTACTAAGAAAAGCTTAGTGCTCCATCTTCAACTATCTGAACAGTGCTAATCACATTACAAGTGATATATGAGACCGACTCATAACTACTCGCTAATGATATGAGCAGTAGGGCTGGCTAGGCAATCAGAGTCCTCATTATGTGCTGTAGATATGACCCCGTCCGGATTCACTAGCGTCGCCACGCTTTAACATTTGAGATTGCGCCTGCTCGAGTGGTGCTGACTGGTCAGCTCCTTTTTGCGAACAAGTACGATGAGGAAAGCATTCCCTGGATTAATTTTGCGGAAAACCTCTCACCTTGATGCACCTTTTGCATCGTCTAAATCAATATGCACTAAGTTGTTTTCTGAGCGTGAAAGGGCGTCGTAGCTCTATTAAGAAGCACTTGCTAGAATGCCTAGGATTTTCCTTCTCTTCTCTATAAATTCATGCTCCACACTTCCAAATATTATCCAAGTTTACAGCTGCTTTCTATAAACTTATGAAGTTATCAAACGACAAGAAAAAATAGAAATCCGCGCAACAAATTGTAGCTCATCCGATGTGGGAATCTTGTGAATTCCGATTATACCCATACCGCAGGTCCTCGTCAGAAGACACATGATGCTTCATAAAGAGGGCATTCATGGCCCCTGGTACAACTAATTAGTTGAGGCAGTTCCCATTCAAAAATGTTCAAACTAACAAACATCAAGACGACACATAATGGCTGCACCAACAGAAAAATGCAGATGTGCTAACTGAATGTCAGCAAAAACTACTACAGCTAGTAGCGAAATCAAGCTTCCAAACTCGCTACTAGAGTTTAACAACGTTGCAAAAAACAAAGGGGTAATTTGAGGGTTTTCTGCCTTATCTTCTATTTTCAGCATGTGCAGTATCACAGTAGCGAAACAGATTAATGCGTCTGAACTTCGTGCGTACGATGAGGTTCGAGCGTGAAGGGAAGAGCTTAGCACCAGAATCAAAAATTTATCAATACTGCTTTAATGATAACTATAAACAAACTAGGAAAAGACCTCCAATCTCCCCTCCTGTCCCTTTTCTCAACCCTTGTCGATTCAAAATGGTTGGAAACCATATCAAGAAGCGCAATACAAAACAATATCGGCATAGATTATTAAGCTATTCAATCATGATACTTGGAAATCGCTACATGACACAAACTTTAGATTGTATGAAGAAGAGGATACTGAGAAGTAAGACTTTCAAGATAATCATCTTATATACCAGAAAACAGTATCTACGCAACAGAACCCTGTACCTCCCAGCGACATCGGGAAAAAAAGAAACTCACTGTCAAGCTGATCCCTCGAGAATGAATAAATACTGTCGACAAACCTTGCGAGGCATAATAAGGAGATATCTGAGTCAGCATCTCCATGGCTACCAGTAGCAGCGGACAACATCTAAATGTGTAAGAATCTTGTTTGACTCAGAAAAAATGCATATTTCAGCAAATGAGCTGATGACGACTCTACGCAACAGGACTAACAATGTGCGAATGTGCGAAGAGCTACATCGCATGTTCGATTTGGTGCGAGCCCGATGTGAAGTCTTTCACTTCGTCCAAGAAAAGGAGCGAAACAAAGTCCAGTGATGCTTTAGTCACAAACTTGAATCTTTTCAAGAAGAACATAAAATTGATGAGATAACCTGACAGAAATTTTTTTTTCTATAATCCTCAGCTGTTAGATTTGTCAGGACTGAAAGCTAGATAAGGGTTATGAATGTGACAGCTGGAAACAAGCAAACTGTCACATATTTTTAGCACAAACACACTGAAAATAACTTTCCTTTACGTGCAGCTATATTGAAAAAGATTGTAAGCAAGAGCTCTGAGTTCTAACAGGCGTGCCACTAGCGCTATGGACTCTGCTCGAGTTATTGCAGAAACCAGAGCATTTGACTCTATCGGGCTAAAAAAAAAACTACTACTATGAACTACTACTATTCTACTAGAAAAAAAAACAAGCAGAGTAGAGAATGAAGTCATAAATCACACAAGCATCAGCAAAGGTACATACATGACTTAATTGAGGATTTCACGAAAATGATCGACTATACTCATGACATAACAAAAGACAAGGAGGTATAAAGCGAAACCGCACCTGATCTCCATGCTTGTAGCGCATTCGTGCTTTCGTTCAAAGTAGTAAATGTCACCTCCACAAAAAAAATTAAGAATTCTGTCGATTGTCGACTGATGAGTTCCGGTTCCGCATTGTTTGTGCCTCGTCATTGTGCTGAAAATATCACAAACTTGAGCGCGCTCAAGTGAAACGGACACCCAATTACTTTACAATAGGAATACACAATCAAAGTCATTCCGACCAGCAACACGTCAACAAACTGCTCATCTAAGAAGGAAATTGAAAGTCCTTAAAATTCAATAAAGGTAACCGAAAGCGAACTGCTTAGGTGAAAAATAAAGTTTACTTCAGATTTTGGTGCTCTATGTAGAGCAAATTCTGAATCATTTTTGTCAAGACACTCTGATGTTTGGAAAAGAAACTCGCAGAAGACATGAAATTGTTTTGACCACTCACCTCCAGCTTTTCAGTCAATCAATCTTGGTGTCTATGGTGTTTGCACGTGAGCCAACACGTCGAGACATGGTGGTCACAAACTGAAAAGCGTCGGAAGAATTCCGTAGCAGGCTGCAAATGACATGAAGAAGCTAGCAACTTCTTCCATACTTTACTTGACAAAGTACTTGCATGATTTACTGCATTATCTCTCCCCAGACATCTCTTATAGAGGCTTTTTAGCTATTGCAAAATAGAATGTGCAATTAGGTCTTTTTATCATGATGACACACAATTTCATAGAAGCCTAGAGTAACAGAAGTCTGATTCAACTGACTGAAATATTTAGTAGACATAACAATGACTAGAAAGAAGCCAAGGCAAAAAAAATAACAACGAAAAAAAACCTTTTTAACGCTTGTAGACCGTCTTTCTATTACGAGCATAAGAATATTTGAGAGTACTGTTCTATTTATCGATAAAGAAGGATTTTCTGCCTTAAACAACATAGCAGCAAAAGCCAAACGACGTTAACAAAAAAAAGCTCTGCTTCAGGGATACGAAAAGCATGTAGTAAAGTCAAAAACGAATGCAAAACCTTTTTCCTAAAGTCTCGTCAAAATGATCACGTGTGATATGTCAGTTTATCAATGCGATAAAAGAAGGTGAGGAAGGAGGAGTGTGCTGAACATGTCATTTTCACGTTCTTGTGTGTATTGGCAGAATATCCATCTAGGCAGAAACGACCTGTCCAATCGTCCCAAAAATGCATATACGGGTTCAGAAAGAAATTACAGTTAGGAAAGGTAAGAAGTTGAATGTAACACCGCTTCAAAGGTCCGTAGGACCAGAAACCACTTGAAATTCCAAGGCAAGCTCTGCTTTCTATTTTTAAGAATCTATGTAGTAGCAGCTGCTTTGTTTCAGAGATTCACCTCATTTTTCACAAGAGATATGAAGTTACCGTATTATTCGAATCCTCACGTGGTATCACCAAAAGCAGTGCTTGCTGCTTTTCCTCTTCTGCGTATTTTTCCTTATTGCAGTATTTCCGCTGTCCAGACATTGTTGGTGATCTCAAAATTTTCATAATTTTGCATTTCTTCTCTGGTAATAGTACGAAATCTATTGAGCAATGGTCCGATTCATGCATGCTTTTTTTGTAAGCACCTCTGCGGATGGATGTATAATTTCAAATCACCTTCTTATAAAAACGTTCAAGTATTCCAAACTGTTCGAAAACAGCAGCAAAATGATAGAAAATGGTTTGTCATGTTCATTGGACAGTTACAATACAAATTCATACCGTACACGCATTATAAGTCCATTAAAGAAAAGTCAAGGCCTTCCTAGTCTCAAAAAAGGAACACAATATCGACTTATACAGACACAAATTAAGTTTCCTTGCTCTTCACGTAAAGACCTGTATGGATATTCCCGCACAAAATGAGATACTGCGCTGCATAGTATGTGCTCAAAATTATCAATTCAGCTAGTGGAACTTTGAATGCTGTGTCATCCCAGATAAGCACTGAATCCGACACGTAGAATAACATGTAGCCGAGAAATCGCAAGTAAAGACCCTGAACAAGAGGAATTGCAGATTTAAAAGTGATATTTCTTTTTACATACCTCATCTTTATCACCCGCATCCCGATTTATATAGTGTGAAGCAGTGGTAACGACACATGTTTTGAGGATCAATGAGTAAATGGAACCAATGAAAACATCGAATGGGTCTCGTAAAAAGTAGACCACCGTTCCTAATACTGCTGCCCAAGCTGCAACGAAGTACAAAAGCGGCCAGTAGATTTTCAGCGGACGTGAAATGAAGAAAGACTGAAAAAATATTATTTAGCAGAACGATGAGATAATGATGAATGAAAGTAGTGTGCCTTTAACGCTAAGAAGCTCTGTCGTCCATATCATTGAGACCGACATGATCAGAGACGCGGAGGGTTCTTGATCAAGAATTGATTTTATGACATAGATCACATGCTAGCCTATTCTATCCCCTCCCCCTCGCTCCCCAAGCAGCACCTAAGGTGTATGAAGCCCACTACACAGGAGGGAACGGCAGCTGGGCTGTATGTTTGCTGTACTGGTAGGATTCCAGTTTCTACCATAAACGTGTTAATGTAGTGGACCTCCCAGTGTGCTTGATCCCTAAGATAAGAGATGCTACAGTTTGTCTTATCACGGGGTAGGAACGTTCTTCCACGTGTATAGGCCACACTGACTGTAAGAATCACACGACAATAGTGACTCTGGCAGCAGTGTGGCCTGAATCACCAAGTATCACCAGGCGTGAGCAAGAATAGCCAAGCATGCAAGAAATTCGACACTCATATAAAGAAACACTTATCTATTGAGAGATAAAATGCATACCATGTAGAACAGATGTCCCACAGCGAATGCAACACCTCCAGGTGGCAAACCTTAATAAAAATGCATACCATGAAGAATAGATGGTTTATGGCGAATGGGATCCCTCCGAGTATCAGACCTTCCTTACTACTGCCGATTAGAACATCACCAATGCCGCCAAAAATCAGCCCGAGAGTGAGTGCTGCACGTTTCCCTGGCGGTAAACCACCTCCATCAATGGCCGCGAAAAGTCCCAAGAACACAATCGGGATTACTTTCCTGTAAAAATACACACTGACATTTGGAATTTCTTATACCGATGATCTTTTTACAACAAAAACTTTCAGTCGATATCTGTGTGACTACTCTTTAACAGAGCAGCGCTTTTGTTCATTCAAACTTCTCATTTTGATTCTTCTTTATGCAATCAGCATGCGAGAATGATTCAAAAATTTGACTTTTAAGGAGGAGCTCAAAAGGCTGACCATGTAGAGTAACCTAGTTTGAAAGCCTACATTGCTAGATCCTCGCAAAAACAAGAAAACAAATATATGCGATACTCACCACACCGGATACATGGCATTGTAGAACTTGACGAATCCATTGGACTGATAGAAGAAAATGGCGATAAGCACAAAATAAATTACTCCAACGGCGTTTAGAGTCGATTGGGATGCTCGCATTTTTAGCTGTAAAACAAGTAGATTTTATGATTACAAATAGGTCAATTACAGAGAGCACGAGATTGAGTATCTTTGCAAGTGCGCGTGCCAAAAAGCTTCGATAACAGATGAAAAGCAATGTTTTCAATAATTCAAATTTTGTCAAGTGCAAAGTTTCTAGTTTCTACAACAAGTAAAAACACCAAATAAACTGACCGAGTGAAGAATCACACACTCACTCCAATTCGTCTGCTTTTATAACGAACACGGCTGCTACACACTTTTAGATAAGAACTTTGTCCCACGTTTTCGTCGACCGCGTTTGAGCAGAGGTAGAGGCTGAAATGAACAAACACAGAGTAGTTTCCCCTATCTAACCGACACGTCTATCTCGGAAAGTAGATAGCTTCGAGTCAAGTGTTCAGATAATTTTGGTATTTTCATTCTGGATAGCTAATGATAGGCAACAAAAACAGCTTCGGAGAATTTGGAATAGTTTGGGTAGAGCCACTTTCAAGCTGTAATAACGGTGTACAAACCACGAACAGGTTTGTTCTCACAGAAGCACAATTTAGGATAGCGCTCCAGCAATAGCTCGAACGCTCAAGCAGAAAAGCTCGACCTGGATCGACAGCCTTACCCCGTGGATATGACCCTCTGCCGCAAATCACCAAGGTCACCGGCAATTACCCGCTTGGCAACGACATTCATAATAAGCGATCACTGTGGCAGCAAACAGCTTTCTTATTAATTCTCAAAGTTTTCAAAAGTACTGCTGAGCAAACAAACAAAGACAACTTTTGCTCATAGTAGTCACGAGTTATATAAGGCACTTCAAAGATTCGATTTGATGATAAACATCGAGAATTGACAATACCGTTCTAAGCATGGAAAAAAGGATGTTGATGATTAGGCAAACGATGATTTAGCAAGGTTGTAACTACAAATGCTCATGCAGCTGAGGACAAGCACTCTCATGCTAGTAAAAATTTTAGGCCCGTTACTTCCTAAACTTGACATGGTCGATAAGACCGCGCTGTTGATACTACAAGCGAGCGAGAGAGCTTAACAGATGGCATAAACAACGCATAGTGGCATGAACAGAAGGCGAAATGGTGCGAGCGTCTTTGCTTATGCTTCGAAATATTATCTCTTTCTGAAAGATTCGCAGCCGCTTTTCGCACTTTGTCTAGATAAGCTTAAACTTGCTCTTTCCTGTTTCCAAGTAATAAATAATACAAAATCAGAAAGATACAAGTATAAACTTGCTAACCATACGATCAAGCTTGTTTTGGTGATGCAATATGTGCAATTTGTGTCAATTTGTACTGCTATCTGCTTGACCTATCTGCAATATGTGCATCTTTTATCATAGAATAAATGATATGCTTTCTAGCTAGAATGCCATGAAGTAAGGAGTTTTTCAAGCAAATGCTATAAATGTGTGAAAAAACGGGAAGCAAATGTAAGCAAAGATAAGAATCACAAAAAAACCACAACAGGGGTCAAGCAGATAGCACTACAAAACACAAAAACTGGTCTAGCTATCTTTGCCGCAGCGGACAGATATATTTAGTAAAGTCTTTTAGACATTGCAGTACTCGCTGTTGTTTGCAGAATGAAGCATTACGCGATAGAGAAAGAAGACATGACAAAATAGCCCAGTCACCTGGGTTGACAACATGTAGCATCTTATCTCGCTTACAACTCCGGAAGTCGAACGAACAAGTAATTCAGTTGCAATACTGAGCTGAATTGCAAGCAAAAAACCGGTTTTTGCGAAAAGTAACGATGGCTACATTATGCGAGTCCGCTATAATTTCCACAAAAGCGTGATCCATGGAATGTAGGAAGGAGTAAGTGTGATACTCAAGTATGTATAGTTTACAATCCCCGAAAGTTTACTGGGAGAGGCAGCAAATTTTCTAGATGAAGGCATGTCCTTAGCAACGTCATCAAAGTTAAAACAAGAGGGTTTCCATCAATCAGAAAGTAATCGCAAAATATTATGACTGCTGTCTTCAAAAAAGTTGTGAAGCATTCTCGAATAGAAGGGTAAGTTTGTATTAGGACGAAAAAACATATAAAAGCTGTGATTTCAAACGAAGCAGAAGTTTTGAGATTTCAGCGCGCGTATAAGCCATACTACACAACTACTGTGCAGCAACAAATGAAGCTCAAAGCGAGAAATAACTATTGCTGTGTCCAATTCCATTGAAGCAGATCACTGAAAAAACCTACCATCGAGCTGATCTCGAGTGACTAGAAGTATACTACCGCTAGCTTCATTGAGAAAATCAAAAGGAGTATCCAAGTCTGCATCTTTGTGACTGCCAGAAAGAATGGAGGTGAACAACATCTGAAAATTTGATTCTGTACATCTCAAGAAGATGTGGATGATCTCGCAAACTGAAGTTCACCTTATGTAGAAGATTAGCGGAGAAATCCGAGGATTTGCATGGCAAAGTGATAGAGCGATTTGGTACCACACGCCAAATCTATAACTAAGGCTGTCGTAATTGTGGTTGTGAATGAAAATTACGATTTTGATGAAGTAGAGAAAACAAAGCCCACATTCAAAGCCTTTCGTATGATACCCACATCCAGGTGACACAATGCTACAGGAACGATCAGCACAGCATCTATTCTACTTCTTTTCACTAGAGGTATCAGATCTCTCAGCTTCTTCGCACCAGTGATTATTTCCACAGGTAAGGAATTCTCCCACATTTCTTCTGTAGAAATCACCAAAAACTTAGCATATTTTTCGAGAAAGGCAAACGCGCTTACTAGATGGAGAGCTTTCCTCATCTCGCCAGATGATCGTAGCGGTAGAAAGAAGCTCAGCTGATTCTAGGTGTCGTATCAGTTCGACGATGTACTTAGCGGATTGCATATCACAATGTGCCAAAAGCATTACTTTTGTTGCAGGTTCGAAGTGCGGAAGGGTGAACATCTGCAATAGGCAATTAGAGATCAAAAGGGAAACGTCTTAGCAAGCAGATGTTCAGCTATGGAACTGAGATATGCAGAAACCTATAAAAAAGCAACAATAGCTAGGCATTCGTATACACGTGAGAACGCCGTATCCCGAATGAATACTAGAGAAAGGATAATAGTGCATTTTTGAGCTATGAAAATAAACTTGCACTGTTTTGGACAACATGAACCAACACTTTGAGCTTGCATTGTTCATGATGGCAGCATTTGCAAAATTTCAGAAAACAGAAACCAGCATCATAACCTTCGTTGCAGACGTACATTGTTTTGAAGCTTATAAGTGTGGAGGAGAGAAGAATTTGTAAATAAAAAATTGAGCTGGGTTGCCCAAAGGATTTTTTTAGAAAGATTATGACAAGTACAAGGCAACGAAAGAAAGGGATAAAGAAACTTTTACGCACCCTATCCGTCAGTTTGTTCCAGTACTCGTATTTCCGTGCCTTCAAAGGAAGCATACGTGCTTCCAATACTCGCCAAGTCATAGCGACTATTCTTTTAAGGGAAGAAAAGTCCGAGAAAACAGCTCTCAACTGGTTCCTCATTGTTTGTGCTCTAACATCATCAATTGCTTTGATCACATCACGAACTTGCGAAAGACTCGACGGCTGCAGTGAGAACCTGAGGGTGCTGATCATATGAGTGCGATGATCAATCACACTAAGGATCAGACTCACACATTCCAATCGATGTAATCGGAAAATGGAAGCACGTATTTTGGCATGAATATTACAGGAATTACAGAAAATTCCATAGCCTTGAACAGAGCGGTTTTGAATAGCGGCATTTCCTGGTGTATAAGGACGAATTTCGAACCCTTCAAATAGACTATACAGCTCACAAGAAGGAGCAAATTACTTTAGGCAACCTGTAATGCTTCCAACCAATCAATTTGGATTCCTGCAGTGTCACATGTGAACCAAGGCGAATCGAGACAATCGGTCAATACTGTTGCACTCTAGAAAGCAAGCGAAAGAAGATAGCGCCAGGTTTCAGAAGCATTGATTACTTTGCGAGCCGCTAATATCAATCCAAAGAAACTTAGATACCTCAAAACCATCAAACTCTTTCAGGCAATCCTCTTTGTAAGAAGCTGACGCGTTCATTGCTAGTACAAGAAGATCGTAGCGCACAACTGCGCTCTTTTTCCGAGGAGCCAAAAAACCAGGAAATGACGGCAATGATATATCTAATCGATGGCGGTATGTGTGTCGCGAAGTGACGCTGCTGAAACGATTATAGACTAAGCACAAATAACATATTACTTCCTTACTGCTAAACTGAGATTTGATGGAGAAATACCTGGCCACGATTTGGCGGAAAGCATGCCTCCATTGCCCAATCAAAGTAAAGATAAGGACATTGTAAAATCTACAAAGAAAGTTTGAGCAGGAAAATTGCTAAGCAGTACTCTGCACCGACCTATCACTTAGCATAGCTGCCACCGCGTGGGCCACCTCGATGCTTGGGAAACGATACAGATTCAAAAAATCAACGCCAGGAAAGAACATACAGGCTTGCTGCGGATCCGATACAGCATAGGATTTAAGTGATGACCGTATTGTGAGAAACTCCTGGGATGGGACTGGCGTTATCACATTGTCGTTCTGCAATAAGTAGAAGAATGGAGTAACTGTTGAAAATACATCGTGTCAGAACTGAAGGCGCATATCTCCCATTAGAATTTATAGATTAGAGATCTCGTAGCAGAGCGATTCAAATAAATGCTAGCATGAGCAAAGATCGAAAAACAACTATTGTTGTCACTTTGGAATCGCCAAAAAAAAAACTCAGTTTGAGAACAACTCGCTTCGATCTCGAAGGAAAAGAAGAGAAAAATGCATCTGTGCACAAACTTACCTCGTCAACAATAGCAAGTAGGGGTTGTATATACACGGAAAGTGAGGTGTAGTTGAGCATGCAATGTTGAAAACGTAAACATGTTGACCATGTACAGTTCTCGAACCTGAAAGGCAAAAAATAAAGCATGACGAATGAGAAGAATTTTGCATACCTGTGAGTTTCTAGGGTGTAGTTGGACTTCTTTAATGTCCATTTAACAAAGTCGTTTGCAGGATTGCGTTGGAAGTATGGGCGAAAATATAAGAGGCAGATGGCTAACACAGAGATGCACCCGTAAACCCATTTCATACCTAAGTACAACATGCCAGCAAAAGAGGTTAAATGAAACGAAAGAAGATAGCAAAGAACTGAGGCGACTAAATCCACAAACACGTTGCTTGAAACAATCTGTTTATTCTTTACAATTTAGAAAACGTATCTATTCAAACAACTCATTGAACAAATGCCAACCGGTACATCGACAAAAAAGTAAAATCTCGAGGCAGTATGATACAGTCCGATGTCACCTTGACTACTCTCGCCTACCTAGTACTTACTGATAAATCTGCGTAAGAACGACCTATTGAATACATTATTAGATGAGCTAATTTCCTTTCAGTACTTCCTGACGGAAATCAGCCACGCATTTCTCGTAGGAGTCAGTGAGATGGGCACATTGCAAAATACGGCCAGGATTCGCTTTCAAACACTCCATAATTTCCTAAAATGAAAACAATCAAACTACATTAGAAGGGAGAACAAAGTCCTTTAGACGAAAAATATAGGTTGACAGAAGCACCTTTTCGTTATCTGCGCAAACATTTTCTCTATGATATGCGAAGAATTTTTCTTGAACACGTTCCACAGTTTCATCAAAAATTTTCTTCCTTTCCTCTATGTCATCAGGTAATGGAGGCATAGATGTATCGCTTGTCTGGAATTGAGGTGCAGATAAACATTCCGGAGAGCAAGTCTGAACGAGCCCCGTTCAACCTTTCGTTGCTGGAGATCTGATAGATTGAGCATCTCTTGCCTCAAACGTGCCTTTTCTTCTCGTTCCCTAGCGAGTTCGTCCCTTAAAAGTCCAGCAGTAAAAGCTTGACCAAAATCGAGAACAAACTTCGTTACTCTTAATCACCAGCGGGTAAAGAAAGAGGATTTCTTTTTATCAAATCACTGCGTTCTGCAGTTGAATATGGCCAGTGAACACCCCCAGAATTAAAGAATCAAATGTTCCAATTTTTGACTCGATATTTAAAAAGCGTTCAAAGAGGCGTAGAAACCTTAAATGGGCGAATAAAACTTCTATAATGCGTAGCTTTCAACGCCATAGCAGATACCGAAACGGGAAACTCCTTACAGAGAATGAAGCCCATGAGATCAAGAACAAAAAGCATGAAACACCACTTCGAATGGAAGGCGCTGACCTCAATTGCTCAGCATCCCCACGAAACCTTGAATGTGCATTGACTCTTCTCACAACGTCAGAAGACACTCCAACAGTTCTGCAAAAACATATAGAAGAATCCATGACAACATAGGGTAAACTAAACAGACTTGTACTCCTCTGGTATTTCGCTCCGATCAATACGTATCACTTCGGGTCGCTCTTGGCTTTGAGCTGTACCCATCTGTGGCGTGTGAGCTGGAAAAAACTCATTTCAGATATATATGGAGGTGGATAGTTGAGTATAACGTAACGATTGCAACAGGAGAGTAAAAAACCGCCGGTTACAACAAACACGGAAGAGCACATGAATTTACGGACTCTGGTTGAAAAGATGTACGCAATATTACAGAAACTGGCTTTCAATAGAGTGGGGATTCATTGGGGGGGGGGGTAAGAGAAGAAGCAAATCTATCCTGCGTCCCCCAAAATTGTCCCCATATGAATCATCAATATGGCTGCCTTTCGATGGTTCTAACACGTTAACACCAGCAAAGTTAAAGGCACCGTCCCCTAATTGAAGGGTCTTGAGCTTTTGGCAGCATATGATAGTAGGCCCCTATCAAGCCAATGCCGAAGTCGCGGCGCACAATGTCGCTCTGAAAGCGAAAAAATCGCTCCGAAACAGCGAAGGTGCACGAGGCCCCCAACGGCACCGTCCTCCCCATCCATGCCTGTTCATCAGTGGCGTACCCAGGATTTCGGCTCGGGGGGGGGGGGGGGGGGCGCAACAAAAAAATTTTTCTAATGAAGGTGCGTGGCGTTAGCCACGCACTCCGAAAAAATTTTAGGGGTGCTTCTCAAAATTTTTGCGGGTCCCCAACCCCTAAAATCTGGAAAAAGGGGACGTGGCTGAAGCCACGCCCCCCGAAAAAAATTTTTTTAGAAGGCTAATTTGAATTTTTAAAAATTTTTAAAAATTATTTTAATTATTTACAAGTATAAACAAGTCATTTGCACATTTTTATAACCCTTATGAGCAACTTTCAAAAATTTCGCGACCCATTCTCGGGGGGGGGGGGCGCGCGCCCCCCCCCGCCCCCCCTCGGTACGCCACTGCTGTTCATCCTTGCGCGCCCATCCATTCGCCGTTCCGGAAAAACGGCCTGCGGGTTCTCCGGACCGAGGATTGTCGGGGTTTTCGCTGGCTCCCGACTTCCGATTTGGAATCAGTGACAAAAGAAGGCCCCGGAACGATCAAAACATGGAAGTCGAGGATCTGGGTGGACGGTGCCTTCAAAGGCAGCGTCCCAAAAGATGGATGCCGGATTTTTGTGACGATGTTGAAGTAGACCACCTACCTAAGAGATGGCTGAAGTTCGAAGCGAGAAAAGGGGTCCGCCAAGCCTGAAGTTTGCTCCGAAAGTTGCCCGAATTTCACGGTGGGACCCAATGGCCCGCGCAGATTTCGAACTGAAAGGCCAGAGCACGCATACTCAGACAATTCTGCGCGCAAGCGGCGCGCACTCACGGCCAGCAGGGCAGGCGGCGGGCCGTGATTTGCGGGCGTGACCTTGCACCGCACAGGCGGCGCGCACTGATTTCAGCCAATAGGCGGCGCGCAATGCATGTTCGCAGGCGGCGTGCAGACACAGTGTGCGTGCAGGCGGCGCGCAATGAACTTTCTGTAGCATCACGTAAGCGAAGAAGGACGCTGCTTTCGCGCGCAAATGCAGAATTTTTTGCAGATAATCGTTTCTCCTCGTTCCTCCTTGTTTTTTTTTCATACAAAGTATTGTGTTGTTTATTACCTCACTTTTACTCTGCTGTTTGACCTCTTTTTCTGTTTCTAAATTGTTTTGAAATCAAGTATGCGATTTTTTTGCCTTTTTGTAGCACGTCCTCTCTTATTCAATCCAAATTCACTCTTGTTTCTCAGTCAGTCTTCCATATCTTTTATCCTACCTCTGGTTCTTAATCATATTGACCCCGTGACACAGGGACGCTCATTTTGAATCAATAACGCTTTCTTGCGTCGTTGCGCCTCCTTTTCTTTCCGTTGCCATTTCTTTCTCTTCCTTTTTCACAAGATAAGAGCAATGTTTAATTCAGGTCACAACTGCCTTAGTACAATGTTGGCTATGTGTGGATGCCGAAAAAAAGTCAACCTAAAAAGAGTAAGTCTTGTTTTTTGAAGCCAAAGTAGGTATTTTGCCTAAAAACATTATTGTGTTTCAGCCACCAATCTACAATGACCACATATACCAAGAATCAAAACAATTCATGGTCGTGGGACCTCAGCCCTGACTAATTATCTTGAAGAGGTGAAAAATTGCATTTTTTCTATATTTGTCAAAATGTTTGTTGCTTTTTCTCTTCAGTTTGTTAATAGCCTGTATTTCAGCGCCACAGCAAGTGTCTAGCACCGACTGATGGAATCTAGCCCTTGATAGAACAAAGACCATTACGAGAAACTAACGAGGACGAGGCTGATCCAGATTATTCATGTCTTAGATGTATTCATGTCTCATCATTCATCCCCATTTTCATGCTCATACCCATCATATCCCCGTCATCCAATTTTTTATTCCTGTAATTGAATTGGGTATATGAAGTCTATGAGCATTTAATTCTGGCTGATCAAGCATGCCCGCGTTTTGTTTGCTATCGCATTTTCATATTTTATTCCTCTAAAACTGTACATATATTATGCATTCATATCTATGTATACATGTTCAGTTTATTTATCAAAGTACTTAGTGATTTTATTGGCAGTTATTTCAAGTTATCTCGTCATACTGTTGCATTCGTTACTATCAACTTCATTGTATTCATTACTTCATACACACTCTTGTTGATATCACATTTGAATGTAAATACCTTGTTGTTGTTGACTTTAAAATGTTTGTGAATTTTGTAAGTACTACCTAAGCTAATAGTATCTAATGCCAGCTGTCAAAGACAGCCTTATCCTGTAAATACTGTATTGTTGCAATTTGTGTTAAAACCTGTCAAATTTGAAAATTGTAGATATAATTCGTTAATAAAACAGTTGTGAAACCATATTGTCCAACAAGCATAAGATATTCAGACCGACAACAAAAATCCGAGCAGATTCCTGCCAAAATTTTCCTCGTAGCGCGCAGGCGGCGGGCCTTCAATCCATAGGCGGCGCGCACTGCACACACAGGCGGCGGGAAGGTACATCGCTCGCTGATTCAGTGCGCGCCGCCTGCGCGCAGATTTGTCTGAGTAGCGCACACAGTCATGAGCGCATGGTCCCGCAACGACTCCGCGGCTCTACGCATGCATCTTGTACTCGCCCAAGCCTATCGGGCCACTGGGCGATTTGTAACTTCGTAGACTCCCTTTCGCGCTGCAAACTTCTGTCGTCGCTAAGTTAGGGGGTCTACTTTTATAATACATGACTACCAAAGCCAGGTACCCCACACTCTGGTAAGCACTGCCTTCAAAGCCGTCATTTTGCCAAGAAATCGTGCAAGCAAAGCGTAAATTTGGCAGTACAGAGCCGTGTTCTGCTTAAAGGCAGTGGATCAGCAGAATGGACCCTTCTCGGATTTTGGTGGATTCAGGTAGTAGACTCCCCAAGTACACTGTGGTCCGAACCCCATTTGCCAATTCTTGCGTTAAGTCCTGAAAAATGCGCACTCAATGGAAAGGGGCGGGGCTGGTGGATGGAGTTTTGAAGCGCATTTTTCAGAACTTAGCGCATGAATTGGCAGATGGGGTTTGGGCTACAGTGTATTTGGGGGTCTACTAAAATCCAAAATCCGAGGAGGGTCCACTTTGCTGGTCCATTGCCTTTAATGCTGGGCCAAAACATGCAGCTAGGTTACTACTTTACATTCTTGAAGCCTAGAGGTGAGCTGAGAGAGCAACAGTGTGCTCTTCGGAATTTTTATGAACGATTTTTTCGCAATAAAACTGCTCATAACGTTGTCCACAAAGGCGTTAAGCAGATATGAAATCCACATCGACTTCTGACCATTCCTTGTCCGTTGCAAAGTCGTCGTTACCGAATCTACAAACGCCGCGGTATTTCCGCGGAAAACCTGCTGAACTTAGTTAAATGCCGCGGAAGAGGTGCGGGAAGTTTCTTACTCGAGCGATATCCTCGCACCTACCTATGTGATATGACTGCCAGGCACATCCGGGCTCGCTACAATTACGAGCTCCTCAGGAGACCAACACATTGCAAGCCCCGCCCGCTGGAGGGCGTGCAGGAGTTCCTAGCACTTTTCCTCGCACCAACTTCCCACCTGCATTCGCACCCAGGAGGGTTCTAGCACCTCTGCGCCTCAGAGGTCAGGACCCGCCCATTGCTCCTCCTATTTACTGGTCTCATTGTGAGGCGTGCAAGCAGCGAGAACATAGATTCAGATATTAAGGTAATAAGAGAAAAAATGCAGAAAAACGGAACATAGTTATCATCTCTTAAGTGAGGCGGCTTGAAATTCTGCTATGCCATCTTTTTAAAAAAGAGCATATAAAGATTACTTTGTGAAGAGAAAAACAGCAAAGAGTTTTTTGAATTGAAAATCTACTCATTTGAAATATTAGAGGATCTAGTCAATCAATTGTACATTACTGGTCCTCTGATTGAAGCAATTTAGCATCAAGAGTTTGAGAACTCAATTCCTTTTTAACAGTAGAAGGACCTGTGTCAGTAAATGATTGTTGTGCCGAAACCAGGTTTCTTGGTGGATGTTTATTCGACCGACGTTTCGACGGGCTCGTCTTTTTCAAGAGGTCTGAACGTAGATTATAGGTTTTTGGATCTGACCAGTACGCCGCCAAGAGCCTCCTCCACGAGTGCTAGTCTAGACCTTATCGGAGGATAGCAGCCAGCGGGAAACCATCAAAGTTGTGAAACGAGCTAACCTTAACTCCACCGCATACCAGTAAGTCCGCACAATGGGACAATAGCGGACGTCACTGAGTGTCACCCAGTGAGTCAAGGGTATTTATGTGCGGCTGTTCAGATTGCATAGCGGTATGAACGGCAAGAGATCACTGTTGATTGACACGCATTCATTCTTAGCATTCATTCTAAGATTCCTCGTAAGTATCCATGCTGCCTCAAGACTCTTTCTTGCGCAAATCTCAGTCGGCGCCATCTATTCCTACCGGGCTGGCTGCGCGGGCGGTTCGCGCGCGGCACCCATATAGCTTGGGGCGCGGAATCGTTCTCATGATTGCGACGTTGGTTTAGACTACTCTCTCTATCTAGACGTGCTGAGGGGGACTTTCCTCCATTACGTCTAAGAGTCCAGCTAAAAGACAGAACAGTGCTGTCAAAGTGCTTAGTGCCATAAGCCATTTAGTGCTTGTCTGCCATAAGGTTCTCC